TCTCTGTGCCTCAGCTTCTTTGTATTCCTTTTCTCTAGTTTCTATTTCATTTATCATCTCCTCCACCGTATCCAACTCTTAATACCCTCCATCATGCTCTTCAACGATTGGATCTCCAACCTGAATTCATTCCTGAATTCTTGGATGTCTTTCCGTACCTCCATTAGAATGTTGATGATTTTTATTTTGAACTCCCTTTCAGGAAGGGTCACGAGGTCCATATTATTTAAATCTTTCTTGGGAGTTGTATTAATAATTTTACTCTGGACAAGGTTCCTTTGGCGTTTCATATTTGTATATAGCGCCCTCTAGTGTCCAGAAGCTGCAGTCTCTGGAGCTGCTCAGCCCCTGAAGCAATGTCGGGGGTTGCAGGGGAGTGGTACTGGTGCCTGGGGGGAGGAAAGAGCTGTTTCCCACCTTCCGGCTGCTGTGCCTGTCTCCACTGCCTGAGCCAGTGGACCGGGCACACTGGTATAAGTTTTTGCCCCAGAGCAGCTGGATATGGATCCCTGCTTTCCACAAGTGGCTGGAATCCCAGTCTCCCTAGGAACTCTGCCTGTATTAAGTTTTCAACCCGATAGTCATACAAGTCTTATGAAAGCACCATGAAATGTAGGTTTGTGCTCCCAGAGCAGATCTCTGGAGCTAGGTATTTAGCAGTCCCAAGCCTTCCACTCCCTCCCTGCTCCATTTCTCTTCCTCCTGCCAGTGAGCTTGGGGTGGGGGAAGGGCTTGGGTCCTGTGGAGTGACAGCTCTGGTACATTAGCCCGTTCGGTGAGGTCTGCTCTTTTCTCCAGTTGTGTGCAGTCTGGCACCATCCTCTTTCCTGTTGCTCTCTCAGGATTAGTTGCACCAATTAAATTTTCTAATTGTATCCAGTTTTAGGAGGAAGCCTCTGTTTCTCCTCTCATGCCGCCATCTTTAATCCCACAACAGCAATTTTTAAAATATGAAAAGTCAGATACATGCTTTTGGAAAATGAATCTGCGCTCCTATGTTTATTGCAGCATTATTCACAATAGCCAAACAAGGAAACAATCTATGTGTCTGATAACAAATAAATGGATAAAGAAAGTGTAGTATGCATATAAATGGAATATTATTCAGCCATGACAAAGAAGGAAGTCATGCTCTCTGTCACAACAAGGCTGGACTGTGAAGGCGTATGTTAAGTGGAACAAGCCAAAGACATGCTGCATGGCCTCGTTTACATATGGAATCTAAAACACAAGCCGAACTGATAGAAACAGAATAGAAAAGAGGTTGTGGCAGAGGCTGGGGGGTGAGGGAAGCAGGGGCTTCCTCTACTGATTGGCTGGCCGGGGGGCCTGGACACACACTGAGGGACCAGAGGACAGGACTCTGGTTGGTGGTGGGGCTTGGGTGGGGTGAAGGCAGCCAGGACAGAGCCTCTGGCTGCAGGAGGGAGTGGCTTCTCCTCTGTGGGCCTCTGAGCAAGTCCCTGTCCCTCTTTGAGCCTCCTCATCTGGAGAAAGGAGGGTGATGATCCTGTGGGGCAGGACTCACAGGGTTGGTGATGAGGTTCAAGGGAGGGAGGGAGTGTGCTGGAGGTGTGGGAGGAGAACAAGGATGCCCGTAATATGACACTGAGTCCTCAGGAGACCCTGTGAGGTAGGTGGAGTTGTCCTCACATTTTCCAGATGAGGAAATGGGCTCAGGGAGGCCCGGCCAAAGGCCCAAAGCTGCATATAGTGCGAGCGCTAGAGCTAGGACTGTTCTGGAATCAGAGTGCCCTGTAGGACAGAGTAGCACGGATACCAGCTGACTTGGTAAGATGACCAGGGTCCAAGGTTAGAAGTTTTGGGGGAACATGGGGTGAAGGGACATGGCCTCTCTGACCCCATCCTTGAACTTGGCAGGAGGGGAGACTGCCAAGTTTGCCGTCCTGGAGACAAGCTTCCAGAGAGCCCACAAGCAGCAGCAGCAGGTGAGTGAGTCAGGGAGGTGCTCCAGGTCAGGGAGGCCAGAGGCCTCCAATGGAGAGAGAAGACCTCTCCTCCCTTGAGGCCCCTCTAGCCCTGCCTCCTGCTGCTGCAATGCCTGACGCCCTTCCGTTAGCAGTGACTGGGAGGAGGGCCCGGAAGAGCTGGGCACAGGATTTGGGGTGAGGAGGATCCCAGGACCACACACCCTGTGGCTGCCAAAAGCTGGCCCTAGGAGGTGATTAGAGGGAGCCTGGTGGTCATAGAGGGGGAGGGGAGGGAACTGAGGGGAGGTGCTAAGAGTCCTAGGCTGCTTGCGTGGGACACCTGGGGTGGGCCAGGAGGCTGAGGGGTGTTCAGGAGAGGGTCCCTGGGGGCACCTGAGAGTGGGGGCTCATCGCTATTCCCACATCCCTTCCTTGGCACGTTTCTCACTGGTCTGGTGACGTCGGACTCTGCGAAGGAGGATTCTCTGAGGTGGGCGAGCCTGGGGGTGGGGCAGTGGGGACCAGGATCCTGCGGCCCCACACTGAGCCCTGCGCCCTCAGCAAACATCCTTTCATGAGGGCCTCTCAGCGGCGCCAGCACACAGGACCGTCATGCTTGTCCTGGGGAGGATGGAGGGAGCTGCCTCTGCCGGCTCCCTAGGCTGGTGAAGCAGCAGAGCAGCCTGACCGCCAAGCTGCAGGACGTTTTGTCAGAGCTTGACCCGCTCGTCCCTCATGGAGGGGAGAGAGACGTTGGCTCCTCCAGTCAGGCAGCACACAAGCGGCCAAGCAGTCCCTTCCTGTGTGAGGCCCGTCTGCCAGCAGAGAGGGCTGGGCTAGCTCTCAAGTGCCCCCCTCCAGCCGGGGCTCAGAGCCTGTGTTCCAGGCTTGCTCTGCCCCCTGGCTGTAGTGCAACATGAGGAGGGGTGGGATGGAGAGGTGGTAACGGGCTGTGGGGCTTTTTCTGATGGGCCTTGGCTGTCTGCCTTCCCGGGGAATCAGACCAACCTCCAGAAAAAGAGTAAGGGGAGCAGCTGTGGCACATACTTGGGGGAGCGTAGGGGAGTGGAAATCCCAATCCCGCCCTCCCACCCCCCAAGCAAGACACTCCCTGACTCCATCTCCTAGGTTTACTGGGCGAGTTTGACAACAGAGAAGTGGGAGACCCACCAAACTGGCAGGGTGGAGGAAGAGGGCTGGCATCAAAGACAGCGTCCTGGAGGAGGGGCTGTTTACACCTGTCTCTGAGAACAGGTAGGACTGGAGGGAACTGAAGGGGAGGAGGCTTCCTATGTGACCCAGGACTGGCCTCCAGCCTTATTCCCCTCCACCCCCACAATACACCAGCAGCATACCGCATCCCCCATCCCCTGACTCAGCCCTATCCACATCTGTTCTTCTCTGGTTCCAGGAATACAAAGTAATGAGGGAGACCTGGCTGCTTCAGAGGGCTGCTAATCATTACAATCTAGAGCCTGAGGAACAATTTGGAGCCTGTTTTCAGTATATGGAGCAACTCAGTGAGGATGAAGGGTGAGGCCAAGCAGGAATTGGGTGAGAGCGGGTGTGGGCTGTCACTTGGCAGCTAACTCCTGAGAGTCGGTGGTCCTGATCCTCTGGTCAACCCCAGACCCTGCTGCATGATGACAGCTGAGGCACCCGGACTCCAGCTGCTGGGTATGCACGGGGAGGGACACCCCGGGTGTGGCTCCTGGTAGGCTTACAGGCGCTACTCTTCCTGTAGCTACAACTGGTCCTACCAGCTGGAGCTCTGGTCCTAGATGCCAGCAGAACACTCAAGGCCGAGAGGGGCTGACCACCATAGAGCTCAGCGGCGAATGGGTGTCCAGGCTACTGTGGCTGAATCCTAGGGGCTCCAGGTACATCTTCAGGCTAAGTGTGGTCTTAGGGAGTCTGATCCCAGCTCTACTGTTGACCAGCCTTGTGCCTGGGGCAATATGCCTTAGCCTTCTGGGAGTCAGTTTCCTACTCTGTGAAATGGGTGATGCTAAATGACTGCTTACATGGCAGGGACAGATGGGTACTGTTGACTTACGGAGCACTCAGTACAGTGCCTGGAGCACAAGATGTAGTTGGGGGGGGGAGTGAGGGGGATGGGCCACGGCCCTGGGGAAAGCCCCCCAAGGTAATTCTTTCCTTCTGTCCAGCTACCAGGCCTCCGAAACAGAGTGCAGTACCAGTGGCGGATCACACTTCTGAGACCAGCTCAAGTAAGGCAGCAGCAGGGACACAGCGGGGGCTCTCATAGGCACTGGGTCAGCCCCTCCTCTGAGGTGAAGAACACAGTGAGCCTTTCTGTGGGGTCTCCTGAAGGGCAGAATAAAAGATGACCCTGCTCCATCCAGCTGCTCTTCTCTAAGGCCTATTTACCTATTGTGGAGGGGTACCGTTTATTTGTTGTGAGCAGTAAATGCTGGATTTGAATATTATTATACTAAAATCCTATTTCTTTTACAGATTGAGTGAGTGATTTTGTTCTTTCACTTTCTATGCTAATTTAAATGAACTACAGACTCTCACATTCCTCCCTGAACTAAGAAATCTTGCATGGTCATCAGCTTATTGTATGTGGAAGAAGACGAAAGGACCAGCCCCCATCCCTGGCCACTGAAGGGAGACCCCTGTGTCCCCCTTACTCTGAAAATATGTTCACTTTAGCATTACTAACCTGGGCAAGGAGCAGAGACAGCCCCTGAGATCTCCTGGGATTTCGAGGTTGAAGGTGCTTTCACAGGCATAACCACCACTGAAATGTGGGTGTCTTGGAAAATAATACTTGCCCTAGGACAGTAGTTGTTTTTCTTACAGTTTTGAAGGAAGAGGGAACATTTTCTGCTTCTCTTGTTGAGGTTTCTTTGGGCAAATATTAGGAACTTGTAGTTCTCTAGTTCAATCTCTGGAGTTGCACCAGCACTAAGTAGGGGGAAAAAATGTGAAAAGATCAAACATTGCATATGGGAAGGACAAGACCAGAGGAAGGGGATTTGCAAATGGACAGGGGCAGCAGGATTTCCCATCCTCGGTCCCCCTCTAGGATCTCTGTGTTCATTCTTTACCCACATTTGGAACCTTTATGGGATCCTTGTCCATGAATTCCTTCTGCTGCTTTCCTACCCAGGGGAAAGATCTGTCATGTGCCTTTTATGGGCCTCATTCCATAAACATTTCTGCTACCCTGAACGGGATTTCCAGCATCCCTACCCTTCCTTGTATAATTCTTTTTAAGACAAAATTTCCCTAGAGGCCCCAGCCTCTCTGTCTGGTACGCTGTGGCCACTCCTCCCCGGCTGGGACCTGATGGATCATGGATGAGTTCCGGTCTGGCCATGGAAAGACCCCATACTGTCCCTTGCTGGCCAAGGTGGCTCAGGGACTGAGACAACTAATAAGCCCAAAAGCAAGTAGGGCTGGTGGGTTTAGTTCCTGAGGAGAATCAATGGTAATCGGCAACTACCTTAAGGGAGACCATTACAGGCCCCTTTCTTCATGGAGCTGCAGCACAGTGAGAGGTGAGCAGACAGTAATCAGATCACCACAAAGTGTAATATTACAAATAACATAACTGATATTTATTGAAAGTTTAGGATATTGAGAGTTAGGATCAGGCACCAGCTTAGGAGTGTTTGTATGTATTAACTCATTTTATCCTCAAAATAATTTTGGATGTTGTGGGTATCACCCACTTTTTATATGTAAGAAAAGAAAGCACAGAAAGGCAAAGTAATTTAGCCAATATCACACAGCTAGAAAGTAGTGGTGTGGAGATCCCGAAACTCTGAGTCTCAGTTTCCTGTTTCTAAAAGCAGAATGACAAAGCTTAGCTGTGGAGATTAAGTTAAAAGAGATGAGTCTGGCAAATACGTAAAGGATGGCTTTACAGTAGGAGCTCAATAATGATTACTGAATTTCAGTGGCTCTGGGACCTGTGAGGTAGATGGGGACTTCCCTTACCCTATTGGTGGGCCCTTCTGGCACTTGCAGAGTGGCTTCATGAGTGACTTTTAAGGATCACACTTTCTACAGGTCCTGGGCCATCAGAGACCTCATGCTTGGGTAGGAAGAATTTGGGTAAATTCTGGGCCTTGTGCCCAAAGAGAAATATCCAGGCTTTCAGCCAGCTACATGGGCCTCTTCCCAACACCCTGCTCTGTAAACACCAGAGGGCTCACTCTCCTCAAACATGCCTGAGCTCTTCCTGCTCCCAAACCTTTGCATTATTGTGCCCCAATTAGGATGCATGCCCACCCTGTCTTTGCCTCCTGAGACAGGTGCTTTCCCAGGGGATCCCCCTTTGTCAGAGAGATTCTGAATCAGAATTTCTGTGTGACAAGGCCCAGGTCAGTTCTGATCTATTCTTCATCCCAGGGGCCAACACAGGGAGAGCTCAGTGTATGCCTGCTTACCCTACTGGACTGGAGGCTGTGATCATGGATTTCCTTCTCTCCTACCACCAGAAGACCTGAGAAGGAGGAAGCAATAAAGCCATCCTTTCTTCCAAAGAAAAACTGCATCAGTGGTTAAACTCACCTGATAGAAATTTTGCCACCTTCCTCAGTGACGCAAAGTTCTGCCCTGTGGTCAAACTAAGTGCTTCTCAACACCGAACTCCCCAGGTTCCCAGGCTGCCCCCTAACCATGAATAGTGGAAACAATTATTGGGCAAGTTATGTTCAACAGAAATTCTCTTTAGTCCTTGATCTTTTTACCAAGGAAGTGATTCATAGTTCATTGTTTAGCTCAGTATCATGCCATGAGTAGCCAGTGCTGTGTGCCATCTGCACCCACAGTGGCTATGCATCTCATCGCATCACAGGGGACAGCTTTTGGTCAGCCTGGAATGGCCTTGTAACAGTGTTGGAGGTCAGCATCAGCTCTCAGAGCATGGTGACAGAATCTGGGTAAACTCCCAGGAGCCATGACCCACTCTTGATTTTCTGAGCATGGCCAGTCTGGGATTGTTGATCAGGGTCTGCAGCAGGAACCACCGTGTTCTGGACCTAGCTGAGATGCGGGGACCTAGGATAGAATCAAAACAGACAGGCTGGGGTATGGGGGCAGCTTGTCTCTGTCCTTCTCAGAGGACAAAAGCTGCCAGTAAGGTGTGGGAGGAGGAGCTGGATCAGGACTCTTGGGAAAAAGAGGGTGGCTGGAGGGATGTGAGTTTGTCTCACAGAGCTGAGTACCTACAGTATTGGGAACAGTGATGAACACAGTCCAGATCAGTCTTCACAAAGCATGGCTAATGGGTGGCTTCTCAGTAGATAGCAGAACAGAATAATAGGGCTGGCAGGGGTAGGCCTTGAGAGGGCAGGAGTTGGTGGCAGGAGAGCTTGTGGTAGCAGAACTGAGTGCCACCTTGGAGGGCATTTGGCCTGAAGCCTGGGATATGGGTAGTGTCAAACAAATGGGGAACAGAGGACTCAAGCAGAACTGAGTTCATTTCCAAGATCAAGGGAGGAGCCCAGGTAGAAGGAGGGGAAAAAGTGTCCTGATCTCCCAGGTAGGTTTCCCAGGGCTCAGAGTACAGAGGAAAAGGGCAGAACAGGGGTCATGTGGGACACCAGAGAAGCCTTAGGGTACTTGTTTCCTGGTGTCCAGCCCCAGTGTACATTCAAACAGGAGGCTTACCTGTTGGCTGATTTTGGCACCAGTATCTGATGGCCTGTTGGAGCCTCTTCTCCCTGTGGCCTATAATCAGGATGTGACAGAAGCTGACGAGCACAGGGTTGGTATGATAATGATCCACATAGAGCATGCCGATCCATGCATTGAACCCTGAAATCCAGAAGGCGAGTCAGGCCATGCAGTATGTCTCAGGAGGGCCCAGCTTGTGCTTTTTATGACACAACTGCAGGGTTACTTTGTTCCTACACTGTGCCTGGCCTTTGCTGAGAAATCTGGAAAATTAGGTATAAAGAACTGGAAGGAGTCATAGAGATCACCTTCTAATCCATCCATTTTATTGGGAACTTGCAGTTCCAACGGGCTAAGAGCTGCTGTGGCTAATATGAAGAAGCCATCAGTCATATAATGAATGGATGAGTAAGTGAATGGACAGGGGCCAGAAATAGAACAAAAACGATTTTTACTCTACAGTAAATGGCTTTGATTTAAAAGCATTTTAGCTGAACAGACTGTTTTCTTAACTAAGTTTCCAACTAACATTATGAGATGTGTTCTTTTCAAAATTTTCAGAGCCACACATTTATACATTCTAACTGCTCAGACAGAACACTATGTCTTCCTGCCCTCCATTATACTGCAAAGGTCTGTCAAATATGCAGGTATTTATAATTTAATAGCCTGAATTCCCTTCTGACCTTTATTTTAGTCTGAGTGTTTTTCCTAACTCAGCTTTATAGCCTCCATAGGAAGATAAGCTTTAAGCATTTTTTTAAGTGAAGAGTGTGAACTCCGGGCCTCTGGTACCTGGCCTCCAAGCAGCCTCTCCAAAGTTGCAAGTCGTTCATAGATGCTGGCCTCTTACCCATGTCTGCTCCTTCATAGCCATTCTGCATGATGGTCCTGTCAATGCGAGCAATCAGCCACGTGCCCAGGATGCAGCTGATGAGCAGCCTGGAGAGGCAAGCGCCCAGGCCCAGCAGCACGTTGTAGAAGAACAGAAAGTAGTTGAAGTTGTGGAATGCTTTCCTGCAAATAGAAACAGGTAGAGAGGCAGCACCCTTCAGTATGAGGAGGTGGCCAAGCAGGAGACCTGTGCCCAAATCCTACACTTCCTGTCTCCTAGCTGTGTGACCTTAGGCTGTAAGAGGGCGCTTTTGCCCCTGCCACACAGCGCTGGTGTGAGAAGTGGCTCAGGTATGGTGTAGAGGGTGGTGTGTACAGTGCTGAACAAATGTTAGTGGGGACTGCATTGTTTCACAGCATCCTTGGGTTTTGAGGTTTCCTGTATGATAAGAAATCTCATGTGGCTACAGCTGGTTTTGTGGCAATAGCAGAGGTGGTGGCTTTCCCACTGTCTGTTGTAACAACGATCTGCCTCCAGCTGGAACTGCTCCAAGACCTCAAGAGGAAACTTACCAAATGACTTGATCCTGTGGTTTCCTATTGCTTATGGGATAAAGGCCAAACTTTGCATATTGAATTCTTGGGCCATCTTTGAGAGGGGCCTTTCTGGTATTGTCACTCTGTGCCCCTCGCCATCCAAGGCAGCTACATGGCCACCATACTGGATTCTCATCCCTATACCTCCTGCCCTTTCATGGCTTCCTGCCTCCATCGGTATAGTGGGGCTGCCAGCCATGCCTTCTACTCATCTCTACCTGCAAGGAACCCTACCAGCCACCAACCTCAGCCCAAATGTCCCACCTACAGCTGAATTAACCACTCCTGCCTCTCCTTCTCCATTACTCTTGTTTTTCTTGTAATCTTGTCACATCTTCTGGACTCTACTGTCCCTACATGCCTGTGTCTGTTGGCTCCAGTGGACCAGGAGCTTCTACATGCAGGTCATGTGGGGATATGTCTTTATTCTCAGTGCCCATGTGGTTTCCTTCATGAGTGAACAGCTTTGAATCAATGAATTAGAGAAGATTACCATGGGCCAGGCACACTCTTGTTCTAAGTCTATATTTTAGAACATTTCATTCTCAGAACACCTCTTTGACGTATGCACAATTTGTAAAATGAGGAAACTGAGGTTCAGAGATATTTAGTAAAGTCACAAACTCATATAACTCACAAGGAGGGGTAGCCAGGATTTGGACCCAGGCATTTTGGCTGCAGAGCTCACTCCTGCACCACTACCCCTAGCCCTCTCAGAGAGTGCACAGTCTACCCAGGAAGCTGCCAAGGGTGAAGAGCAGGCACAGAGGCTGCCAAAGGCAAAGCCCTACAGTCCACACTCCCCTCTCTCCCCTCACCTGTTGTTGAGAGCCAAGGGCTTCTGCTTGTCAGCTGTGCCTATCTTTGGTTGCAGGAAGAAGGTGGCGGCAATCCATACCTGGATGATCATGAGGCCCAGGACGATGGATATGGTGAGGCTGAAACACAGGGTGAAACTATCTTGAGGGGGCCTTGTCCACTCTCCCCAGGCCCTTCTCAAATGCCCAGTAAGAAAGAGGAGATGCTGACAGCCTGCCAGAGTGACAGTAGCATGAGCACTACGCTCTATGTCTACAGAGCATTCTCACACCCATTGTGCTGATGGGAAAATTGAGGCTCACAGAGGGGAGATGACCTTCTCAAGCTGCATCATCAGGTCTTCTGGCTCCCGTCCAGAACTCTAGGATTTACTATGTCCTTTTGTCCAGGGAAGACAGCTGGGGTGAGTGGTTTAATAGCATGGGAATCACAGAAGGGAACGGAGTGTTTACAAGAGCTCATGAAGGCCATGAGAATGGATAGGGCAGCCTCTGCCCAGGCTCACAGGGGCTCTCAGTGAGTCTGGGACCAAGGAGGTCCCCAGAAAGTACCACCTCCTGCGTCTGCCACCTCTGAGTGGCAGCATGGGGTAATGCTCAAATGAGGCTTTAGTGTCAGATTGCCTGGCCCCCAGTATTGCCTCTTCCCCACTCTTGGAAAAACTGCTTAGCCTCTCTGTGCCTGTATCCTTTTCTGAAACAAAAGGGAGCTAATGTAAATCCCAACCCTAAAGAGTTCCTAACATAAAAGATGCACAGTAAATTCTCCCTAATGTCAGCCTTCACTTTTATCTTTTATATGGGTAAACTGAGGCTCAGAGAAGCAACTTACCCAAAGTCACAAAGCTGATCTAAAACCTAAGCTCAGATTTCTCCTCTCCTTCCATTATACTGTCTTGTCTCTCACTTCACCTCCCTACCCTCAGTCTTTCAAGCTATAAAATGGACATGCCTGTATCCCCCACAGATGCAATTGTGGGCACCCCACTGAACTGTGGGAGTGGAAACATTTTGTAAACAATTGCTTGCATTGACAGGACAGGTGCCTGTCATGATGAGCTGCTGTTTCAGCTTGTCCTTGAGTCATTGCTGAGAGCCTGGGCCCAGGGATTCCAGAGAGCCCAGCAGGAAAGGGGTCTTCAACAGCAGCTGTGGGGGGTCCACCAGCTCCCAGGCTCTGGGCAAGGACAGGCAGCCCACCCAGTACTTACGTCCCGATGCCCAGTCCTTGGAGCATCCCTAGGCCCTGGTTGTGGATGACAGGCAGCACCAGACTGTACATGATCATCATGCCACACAGGCTCTGCAGCACATGGATAATGAGGTAGCCTGGAGGCCAAGAGAACTGGTGGTCACTCAAAGCCCTTCATGATCCGCTCACACCTGTACCTCCCTGCACTGTCCCCCTCCCCATCTTCCTCCCACCAAAGTCCTGGCATTTTTGCTTATGCTGCTGCTTCTGCCTGGCTTGGCTTCCCTTTTCTTCCTGCTGACCTTCTGCTGACTTTATTCACCTGCCAGGCACAGTTTAAATGTCTATTCCACTAGAAAGCATTCATGCCCTGCTCTGGATGTGGATAGTCACTTCTTCCTCTGGGTCACCACCCCCTTAGCAATTATGCCCCGCGGGCTTGGGACAGGTGGTGGTGATGACCTGTAGGAGTGATTCTCCGTCCTTCTTGAAGGTCCCTCGAGGAAGAGCCAGGGCTTCTTCTGCCTCACTTCTCTCCTCCCTACCCACAGCCAGGACTCTGCAAGTGCCCAGGGACTGTGTGTTGAATTGAATGGGTCACATGGTGGCACTTACCCCACAGAATATAGGCTATTTGCCAGCCAGAGTACCTTGCGATGGCCACCTGAGATTGAAAAAGGAAAAGGGGCCTCAGAGGGAGGAAAGCTTGATTACCTTTAATAAGTGTGTCAAACATGTCTGCCTCGTTGAGGTTCACCCACCAACCCGCCAAGGCAGGTGTCCTGATTGTCCTCATATTACAGATGAAGAAACTCAGGCCAGATGGGGACAGTGACTCCTGAGTCGCCCAGCAGTAGAGCATACGAGCACCGAGGACCTGGACTCCCAGCCCGGGGCTCTTCCTGCCCCATCATATTGCCCCATCTAAGTGTAGGAGAGCAGGTTTTGGCAAATCAGTCTTGGAGCAGAAGGAGGTCTCTGTAGACTTACCACACTCTCCGACGAGGAAGGATTATGGAACTTCACAGGAAGAAACTGTTTATCTCCTGCCCACAACCTCTTCATGTGCTTTCTAGAGAATAAGTGAGAAATGAGCAGTGTTCATAACTATGGTTCCTTATGCACTGAGAGCTCAATAGATGTAAACAGAAAGGATGGTGGAGGGAGCAGGCCGGCAGTCAGACTCCCTGTATTGACCATGGTTCTAATCAGCCCTAAAAAGCTTTTTTTAAATACTTTTAAAAATTGAAGTATAATTGACATGTAACATTGTATTGGTTTCAGGTATACAACATAATGATTCAGTATTTCTATTTATTGTGAAATGATCACCACCGTAAATCTAGTTAATATCCATCACCATATGTAGTTGACAAAAATTTTTTTCTTGTGGTGAGAATTTTTAAGATCAATTCTCTTAACCACTTTCAAATATGCAGTACAGTATTATTGTTACCATGCTGTACACTACAGGACTTGTTTATCTTGTAACTAGAGGTTTATACATTTTGACCCCTTTCATGCATTTCTCCCACCACCCCTCAGCCCCTATCTCTGACAACCACCAATATGTTCTCTATATCTATGAGCTTGATTTTGTTTTAGATTTCACATATAAGTGAGATCATATGGTATTTGTCTTTCTCTGTCTGACTTATTTTCACTTAGCATAATACAATCAATGTCTATCCATGTTGTTGCAAATGGCAAGACTTCATTTTTATGGCTGAATAGTATTCTATTGTATATACACATAGATCTTCTTTATTCATCCATAAACGGATATTTAGGTTGCTTCCATATCTTGGCTATTGTGAATAATATTGCAACAAATGTAGGATATATTTTTTGGAATTAGTGTTTTGTTTTCTTTGGGTAAATACCCAGAAATGGAATTACTGAATCATAGAGTATTTCTATTTAAAAATTTTTAAGGAAACACCATACTATTTTCCACAGTGGCTGCACCAATTTACATTCCCACCAACAGTCATGAAGGTTCCCTTCTCTCCACATCCTTGCCAAAACTTGTGATTTCTTGTCTTTTTGATAGTAAATAGCCTTTCTAACAGGTATGAGGTGGGACCTCACTATGGTTTTGATTTGTGTTTCCTTGATGATTTAAAAATCTTAAATTTGATATATTCTGTAAAAAGAATACATTGTCAACTAGTCTTAATGATGACTGAATGTGATAGTAGAGACTCTGTGTGGCATTTTTCCCTTCAACTTGCTCTACTTTTTTATTTTTTTCTTTGATGAATATGTAATAATATTTTAAAATAGGTAAAAACAGAAAATTGATTTTAACAATAACCTCATCATAACAACCTACAGGGAAATAAAAATAGAGCCATAACCACTCCTAATCCCAGCACCCCACCAAATCCCTGCATGCCTTTCCCAGGTGTTAGTCTTAGCCTGGCCCTTTGTGTAAAGATTAGGTTGGCATAGTTATGTTCACAGTCTGTATTCACGCCTATGTCCTGTATTTTTCTTAGAACTATCTCCAGCACCTTCCAGGATGCTTTACAATTTTATCATCACCAAATTAGGGAAACTCGGTATGAAATAAAGAATGTAAATACCTCAATAATTTGTACAGTTGACCCTTAAACAGTGTGGGGGTTAGAGGAGACAACTGCTGCACAGTCAAAAATCCACGTATAATTTTGACTCCCCAAAAACTTAACTAACAGCCCACTGTTGACCAGAGGCCTTACTGATAACATAAAGTTGATTAACATATTTTGTATGCTTCATGTATTATATATTATATCCTTAAATAAAATAAGCTAGAAAAAAGAAAATGTTTTTTCAAATTGTCACCAATCTCCAAAAAGGTTTTCAATATATTTATTGAGAAAAATCCATGTATAAGTGGACTGGCATAGTTCAAACCTGTGCTGGTCAAGGGTCAACTGTATATTTATTATGTCATGAAACGATGGTATCTGGGTTAAATAAAATATGTTATTATATTATTTTCACCTCCTTGTTTACTTTTTTAATAGTGGCTATTAGGAAATTCAACATTGTATCTCTATGGTTTTCATTGAGCTTCTCTTTGGCAGCGCTGGAACAGAGAATGCTACTAGGAATACAAACACAGAGATATTTGCATGGTGCATAGAAAATTTCTGGAAGAATGTTCAGAAAATGAAAAACAACGCTTAGCTCTGGGGCAACAAACTGGGGTCTGAGTGGGAGGAAGACTTACTTTACATTAAATATTTTTCGTAACTATTTTTTTTTTAAAGAGCCTGATATAACCCTACATCAGATGGGGCAGGGAGAGTAGCAGTGTGCAGTCCACCCATGCGGTCCAAGTCGAAGAAAGCAGAGAGAGGCCAGCAGGGCTGGGGTAGAGAGCTGGGACCTCTTTATGCCTGGAGAGTCTTCTTTTGGATGCCATGTGCAGGAGACCCACCCTTTGCACAGCCAAGTGGGGAGGGTATAAAGACAGGATGCTTTGGGAGGGTAGAAATTGGCCCTAGGCTTCCTGTGAGTGAGTGTGAGTGAGTGTGATTTAGGCACTGAGACAGAAGGAAACAAACAGCCAGAGAGAGACAGAGAGAGAGAGAAGAGAGGGCAGACTCCTGAAAATTACCTGCTGTCTACATATGAAATGCTTGCTACATATTGAAGACCATCCCCTCCTTCTGCTCTACTGTTCTTGAGATGATGTACCTTGTCCACTTGCTGAATCCCCTTTGATGACCCCTTGAGCCAGATTTGCCTGCTGGGAGCTTAGTGTGATTAGTCCTGGAGAGCAGGGCAGGCTCACACCCAGTAGAGGTACCAGAGTTGACAAGAAATGACAAGGTCTCTCAGGTCAGGAGACATGATTGCCTGCTTATGGCATGGGTAAGTCATTTTGTTAAATCTCAGCTTTCTCAGCTGTAAAAATGGAAAAGAAAGAATTCTTCAGGGTTGTGGTAAAAATCAAAAGAGGATTCTAAACACAATGTCAAGCTTATAGCAGAAGCTCAAATCAATAGTTTTTTGTTTTTGAACTACCAATAGATGTGGCTGTCCCTGGACCTTGAATATATTATACACTCCTGGTTCCGGTTTGGGCACTGCTGACACTGCTCAGGAATTTTTAGGAAAGTCTGTCAGATGCTTTCCTGGCTAAAGATACACAAATGACTCCCACAAATGACTACCTGTAGCAGGCCAGTATGTGGAACAGATAGCTCACACACGTGAGGGAGGCAGGCAAAATGGTCACCACCCAGACTCCTGAAATAGGAAAAGTGAATGAGAAGCTTTGGAAGATGAACCAGATGCAGTATTTTCAAAATGCAGAAACTCACATCGAAAAGATTTGGGCAAATATATTTCCTTTAACTCATTTTTATGTAATAATGTTTTGCTAATATTTTTGTTTCATTTTAGCCACATCTACCCTTGATATACTTTATTTCCTGTACAAGCCTCTCCTTTGGTATTAATATCTTCAATGTACAGTGAGTAATGGGAAGAGAAAATTATGGAGGATACACAAGGTAGGTAGCTTCCTTCCCTGTAAACCATTAATAGTTGAACTAATTGCCACCCCAGTAAACAGCAGTAACAATAACAGGAATCAAGAGGTCTTGACTATTCATTCATCCATCTTTCAGCAAGTTTTTAGTATTTCATATCTAATTTGCCTTTTTAAAGTGATTCTGTGTGCTGGTAATACAGGGATGGAGAAGCAGGGAAGGGAGATGATTTATGTGTGTAAAAGCTTCTGTACAAACTGGTCTGAATAGATGCAGAAAAAGCATTTGAAAAATCCAACACCTATTTATAATAAAAAACAGTCCATAAACTAGAAATAGAAGGGAACTGCCTCAACCTGATTAAAATCACCTGCAAAAATCCCACAGCTAACATCAAACTTAATGATGAAAGACTGACAGCTTTCCCCCTAAGTTCAAGAATAAGAAAATCAATGTCTGCTCCTGCCAATTTTATCCAGCATTGTACTGGAGGCTCTATCCAGGGCAATTAGACAAGAAAATGCATCCAGACTGCTAAGGAAGACTAAAACTATCTCTCTGCACCAATGACATGTTTTTTAAATTTAGAAAATCCTAGAGAATAAACAAACAAAATCCAGCTAAAACTAGTTAATAAATGAGTTCAGCAAGGTTACAGGACATAAGAGCAATATATAAAAATCAACTGTATTTCTGTACACTAGCAATGAACAATCTGAAAATGAAGTAAGAATATAACTGCATTTGCCATAGCAACAAAAAGAATAAAATACTTCAGAATAAATTTAGAGAAAGAAGTGTACAACCTGTACACTGAAAACTACAAGAGATTTTTGAAAGAAGTTAAGCAAGACCTAAATTAATGAAAAGACATCCCACTTTCATGTATTGGATGCTCTTTGTTAATATGACAATGCTCCCTTGCATTGATCTAAAGATTCAACCCAATCCCTATAAAAATTCCTACCATTTTTGTATAAGTTGACAAGCTAATCTCAAAGGGACCCAGAATAGGTAATACAGTCTTGAAAAAGAAGAACAAAATTGCAGGACTCAAAATTCCTTGATTTTAAACTTACTACAGAGCTATAGTAATGAAGGCAATATGGTACTGTCATAAAGACAGACAAATAGATCATGGAATAAATTGAGAATCCAGGAGTTAAACCCTCATTGTCAATGTATTTTAAATAAAGATGACAAGACAATTCAATAAGGAAAGAATATACTTTTCAACAAATGGCACTGGGGCAAGTGATATTCACATGCAAAACAATGAAGTTAGACCCTTACCTCATAGCTTAAAATCACCTCAAAGTGGATCAGAGGCTTACATGTAAGAGCTAAAATTATAAAAGCCTCAGAAGAAAAGATGAGAATATGGTTAGGCAATGGTTTCTTAGATATGTGCAAGTGACAAGAGAAAAACAAATCTTTAATTTCATCAAAATGAAAAACATTTGGGTTTCAAAGGATGCCATGAAAAAGCAACCCACAAAATGGAAGAAAATATTTGCAAATTATATCTCTTGTAAGGGATTTGTGTATAGAATATATAAAGAACTCATACAACTCCATAATAAACAAATAACACAATTTAAAAATAGGCAAAGAATCTCAATAGACATTATTCAGAGATGTACAAATGGCAAATAAGTACGTGAAAAAAATGTCCAACGTCATCAGTCATCAGGGAAATGAAGATCAAAACTATAATGAGATACCACCTGACACTTACTGGACAGCCATGATAAAAAAGATACCAGTGTTGGTGAAGGTAGGGAGAAACTGGACTCCCTCCTATATTGCTGGTGGGAATACACAGTGATGTAGCTGCTTTTGAAAACAGTCTGAATTCCATACATTTACAATGGTAACACAGTTACTGTATGATACAGAATTCCACTCCTAGATAGATACCCAAGACGTATGAAAATGTATGAAAAACTTGTAGATGAATCTTCATAGCAATATTACTCATAGTAGCCAAAAGCTGAAACAACCCACATTTCCATCAACTGGTGAATGGACAAATACAATGTGGTATCCTCATGCAACAGAATAAAATTCAGCAATAAAAAAGGATGAAGTTCGGATACATGCTATGACATAGATGAACCTTGTAAACATTTTGCTATGTAAAAGAAGCCAATCAAAAAGTCTATATATTGTATGACCCCATTTANGCTGTGTGCCATCTGCACCCACAGTGGCTATGCATCTCATCGCATCACAGGGGACAGCTTTTGGTCAGCCTGGAATGGCCTTGTAACAGTGTTGGAGGTCAGCATCAGCTCTCAGAGCATGGTGACAGAATCTGGGTAAACTCCCAGGAGCCATGACCCACTCTTGATTTTCTGAGCATGGCCAGTCTGGGATTGTTGATCAGGGTCTGCAGCAGGAACCACCGTGTTCTGGACCTAGCTGAGATGCGGGGACCTAGGATAGAATCAAAACAGACAGGCTGGGGTATGGGGGCAGCTTGTCTCTGTCCTTCTCAGAGGACAAAAGCTGCCAGTAAGGTGTGGGAGGAGGAGCTGGATCAGGACTCTTGGGAAAAAGAGGGTGGCTGGAGGGATGTGAGTTTGTCTCACAGAGCTGAGTACCTACAGTATTGGGAACAGTGATGAACACAGTCCAGATCAGTCTTCACAAAGCATGGCTAATGGGTGGCTTCTCAGTAGATAGCAGAACAGAATAATAGGGCTGGCAGGGGTAGGCCTTGAGAGGGCAGGAGTTGGTGGCAGGAGAGCTTGTGGTAGCAGAACTGAGTGCCACCTTGGAGGGCATTTGGCCTGAAGCCTGGGATATGGGTAGTGTCAAACAAATGGGGAACAGAGGACTCAAGCAGAACTGAGTTCATTTCCAAGATCAAGGGAGGAGCCCAGGTAGAAGGAGGGGAAAAAGTGTCCTGATCTCCCAGGTAGGTTTCCCAGGGCTCAGAGTACAGAGGAAAAGGGCAGAACAGGGGTCATGTGGGACACCAGAGAAGCCTTAGGGTACTTGTTTCCTGGTGTCCAGCCCCAGTGTACATTCAAACAGGAGGCTTACCTGTTGGCTGATTTTGGCACCAGTATCTGATGGCCTGTTGGAGCCTCTTCTCCCTGTGGCCTATAATCAGGATGTGACAGAAGCTGACGAGCACAGGGTTGGTATGATAATGATCCACATAGAGCATGCCGATCCATGCATTGAACCCTGAAATCCAGAAGGCGAGTCAGGCCATGCAGTATGTCTCAGGAGGGCCCAGCTTGTGCTTTTTATGACACAACTGCAGGGTTACTTTGTTCCTACACTGTGCCTGGCCTTTGCTGAGAAATCTGGAAAATTAGGTATAAAGAACTGGAAGGAGTCATAGAGATCACCTTCTAATCCATCCATTTTATTGGGAACTTGCAGTTCCAACGGGCTAAGAGCTGCTGTGGCTAATATGAAGAAGCCATCAGTCATATAATGAATGGATGAGTAAGTGAATGGACAGGGGCCAGAAATAGAACAAAAACGATTTTTACTCTACAGTAAATGGCTTTGATTTAAAAGCATTTTAGCTGAACAGACTGTTTTCTTAACTAAGTTTCCAACTAACATTATGAGATGTGTTCTTTTCAAAATTTTCAGAGCCACACATTTATACATTCTAACTGCTCAGACAGAACACTATGTCTTCCTGCCCTCCATTATACTGCAAAGGTCTGTCAAATATGCAGGTATTTATAATTTAATAGCCTGAATTCCCTTCTGACCTTTATTTTAGTCTGAGTGTTTTTCCTAACTCAGCTTTATAGCCTCCATAGGAAGATAAGCTTTAAGCATTTTTTTAAGTGAAGAGTGTGAACTCCGGGCCTCTGGTACCTGGCCTCCAAGCAGCCTCTCCAAAGTTGCAAGTCGTTCATAGATGCTGGCCTCTTACCCATGTCTGCTCCTTCATAGCCATTCTGCATGATGGTCCTGTCAATGCGAGCAATCAGCCACGTGCCCAGGATGCAGCTGATGAGCAGCCTGGAGAGGCAAGCGCCCAGGCCCAGCAGCACGTTGTAGAAGAACAGAAAGTAGTTGAAGTTGTGGAATGCTTTCCTGCAAATAGAAACAGGTAGAGAGGCAGCACCCTTCAGTATGAGGAGGTGGCCAAGCAGGAGACCTGTGCCCAAATCCTACACTTCCTGTCTCCTAGCTGTGTGACCTTAGGCTGTAAGAGGGCGCTTTTGCCCCTGCCACACAGCGCTGGTGTGAGAAGTGGCTCAGGTATGGTGTAGAGGGTGGTGTGTACAGTGCTGAACAAATGTTAGTGGGGACTGCATTGTTTCACAGCATCCTTGGGTTTTGAGGTTTCCTGTATGATAAGAAATCTCATGTGGCTACAGCTGGTTTTGTGGCAATAGCAGAGGTGGTGGCTTTCCCACTGTCTGTTGTAACAACGATCTGCCTCCAGCTGGAACTGCTCCAAGACCTCAAGAGGAAACTTACCAAATGACTTGATCCTGTGGTTTCCTATTGCTTATGGGATAAAGGCCAAACTTTGCATATTGAATTCTTGGGCCATCTTTGAGAGGGGCCTTTCTGGTATTGTCACTCTGTGCCCCTCGCCATCCAAGGCAGCTACATGGCCACCATACTGGATTCTCATCCCTATACCTCCTGCCCTTTCATGGCTTCCTGCCTCCATCGGTATAGTGGGGCTGCCAGCCATGCCTTCTACTCATCTCTACCTGCAAGGAACCCTACCAGCCACCAACCTCAGCCCAAATGTCCCACCTACAGCTGAATTAACCACTCCTGCCTCTCCTTCTCCATTACTCTTGTTTTTCTTGTAATCTTGTCACATCTTCTGGACTCTACTGTCCCTACATGCCTGTGTCTGTTGGCTCCAGTGGACCAGGAGCTTCTACATGCAGGTCATGTGGGGATATGTCTTTATTCTCAGTGCCCATGTGGTTTCCTTCATGAGTGAACAGCTTTGAATCAATGAATTAGAGAAGATTACCATGGGCCAGGCACACTCTTGTTCTAAGTCTATATTTTAGAACATTTCATTCTCAGAACACCTCTTTGACGTATGCACAATTTGTAAAATGAGGAAACTGAGGTTCAGAGATATTTAGTAAAGTCACAAACTCATATAACTCACAAGGAGGGGTAGCCAGGATTTGGACCCAGGCATTTTGGCTGCAGAGCTCACTCCTGCACCACTACCCCTAGCCCTCTCAGAGAGTGCACAGTCTACCCAGGAAGCTGCCAAGGGTGAAGAGCAGGCACAGAGGCTGCCAAAGGCAAAGCCCTACAGTCCACACTCCCCTCTCTCCCCTCACCTGTTGTTGAGAGCCAAGGGCTTCTGCTTGTCAGCTGTGCCTATCTTTGGTTGCAGGAAGAAGGTGGCGGCAATCCATACCTGGATGATCATGAGGCCCAGGACGATGGATATGGTGAGGCTGAAACACAGGGTGAAACTATCTTGAGGGGGCCTTGTCCACTCTCCCCAGGCCCTTCTCAAATGCCCAGTAAGAAAGAGGAGATGCTGACAGCCTGCCAGAGTGACAGTAGCATGAGCACTACGCTCTATGTCTACAGAGCATTCTCACACCCATTGTGCTGATGGGAAAATTGAGGCTCACAGAGGGGAGATGACCTTCTCAAGCTGCATCATCAGGTCTTCTGGCTCCCGTCCAGAACTCTAGGATTTACTATGTCCTTTTGTCCAGGGAAGACAGCTGGGGTGAGTGGTTTAATAGCATGGGAATCACAGAAGGGAACGGAGTGTTTACAAGAGCTCATGAAGGCCATGAGAATGGATAGGGCAGCCTCTGCCCAGGCTCACAGGGGCTCTCAGTGAGTCTGGGACCAAGGAGGTCCCCAGAAAGTACCACCTCCTGCGTCTGCCACCTCTGAGTGGCAGCATGGGGTAATGCTCAAATGAGGCTTTAGTGTCAGATTGCCTGGCCCCCAGTATTGCCTCTTCCCCACTCTTGGAAAAACTGCTTAGCCTCTCTGTGCCTGTATCCTTTTCTGAAACAAAAGGGAGCTAATGTAAATCCCAACCCTAAAGAGTTCCTAACATAAAAGATGCACAGTAAATTCTCCCTAATGTCAGCCTTCACTTTTATCTTTTATATGGGTAAACTGAGGCTCAGAGAAGCAACTTACCCAAAGTCACAAAGCTGATCTAAAACCTAAGCTCAGATTTCTCCTCTCCTTCCATTATACTGTCTTGTCTCTCACTTCACCTCCCTACCCTCAGTCTTTCAAGCTATAAAATGGACATGCCTGTATCCCCCACAGATGCAATTGTGGGCACCCCACTGAACTGTGGGAGTGGAAACATTTTGTAAACAATTGCTTGCATTGACAGGACAGGTGCCTGTCATGATGAGCTGCTGTTTCAGCTTGTCCTTGAGTCATTGCTGAGAGCCTGGGCCCAGGGATTCCAGAGAGCCCAGCAGGAAAGGGGTCTTCAACAGCAGCTGTGGGGGGTCCACCAGCTCCCAGGCTCTGGGCAAGGACAGGCAGCCCACCCAGTACTTACGTCCCGATGCCCAGTCCTTGGAGCATCCCTAGGCCCTGGTTGTGGATGACAGGCAGCACCAGACTGTACATGATCATCATGCCACACAGGCTCTGCAGCACATGGATAATGAGGTAGCCTGGAGGCCAAGAGAACTGGTGGTCACTCAAAGCCCTTCATGATCCGCTCACACCTGTACCTCCCTGCACTGTCCCCCTCCCCATCTTCCTCCCACCAAAGTCCTGGCATTTTTGCTTATGCTGCTGCTTCTGCCTGGCTTGGCTTCCCTTTTCTTCCTGCTGACCTTCTGCTGACTTTATTCACCTGCCAGGCACAGTTTAAATGTCTATTCCACTAGAAAGCATTCATGCCCTGCTCTGGATGTGGATAGTCACTTCTTCCTCTGGGTCACCACCCCCTTAGCAATTATGCCCCGCGGGCTTGGGACAGGTGGTGGTGATGACCTGTAGGAGTGATTCTCCGTCCTTCTTGAAGGTCCCTCGAGGAAGAGCCAGGGCTTCTTCTGCCTCACTTCTCTCCTCCCTACCCACAGCCAGGACTCTGCAAGTGCCCAGGGACTGTGTGTTGAATTGAATGGGTCACATGGTGGCACTTACCCCACAGAATATAGGCTATTTGCCAGCCAGAGTACCTTGCGATGGCCACCTGAGATTGAAAAAGGAAAAGGGGCCTCAGAGGGAGGAAAGCTTGATTACCTTTAATAAGTGTGTCAAACATGTCTGCCTCGTTGAGGTTCACCCACCAACCCGCCAAGGCAGGTGTCCTGATTGTCCTCATATTACAGATGAAGAAACTCAGGCCAGATGGGGACAGTGACTCCTGAGTCGCCCAGCAGTAGAGCATACGAGCACCGAGGACCTGGACTCCCAGCCCGGGGCTCTTCCTGCCCCATCATATTGCCCCATCTAAGTGTAGGAGAGCAGGTTTTGGCAAATCAGTCTTGGAGCAGAAGGAGGTCTCTGTAGACTTACCACACTCTCCGACGAGGAAGGATTATGGAACTTCACAGGAAGAAACTGTTTATCTCCTGCCCACAACCTCTTCATGTGCTTTCTAGAGAATAAGTGAGAAATGAGCAGTGTTCATAACTATGGTTCCTTATGCACTGAGAGCTCAATAGATGTAAACAGAAAGGATGGTGGAGGGAGCAGGCCGGCAGTCAGACTCCCTGTATTGACCATGGTTCTAATCAGCCCTAAAAAGCTTTTTTTAAATACTTTTAAAAATTGAAGTATAATTGACATGTAACATTGTATTGGTTTCAGGTATACAACATAATGATTCAGTATTTCTATTTATTGTGAAATGATCACCACCGTAAATCTAGTTAATATCCATCACCATATGTAGTTGACAAAAATTTTTTTCTTGTGGTGAGAATTTTTAAGATCAATTCTCTTAACCACTTTCAAATATGCAGTACAGTATTATTGTTACCATGCTGTACACTACAGGACTTGTTTATCTTGTAACTAGAGGTTTATACATTTTGACCCCTTTCATGCATTTCTCCCACCACCCCTCAGCCCCTATCTCTGACAACCACCAATATGTTCTCTATATCTATGAGCTTGATTTTGTTTTAGATTTCACATATAAGTGAGATCATATGGTATTTGTCTTTCTCTGTCTGACTTATTTTCACTTAGCATAATACAATCAATGTCTATCCATGTTGTTGCAAATGGCAAGACTTCATTTTTATGGCTGAATAGTATTCTATTGTATATACACATAGATCTTCTTTATTCATCCATAAACGGATATTTAGGTTGCTTCCATATCTTGGCTATTGTGAATAATATTGCAACAAATGTAGGATATATTTTTTGGAATTAGTGTTTTGTTTTCTTTGGGTAAATACCCAGAAATGGAATTACTGAATCATAGAGTATTTCTATTTAAAAATTTTTAAGGAAACACCATACTATTTTCCACAGTGGCTGCACCAATTTACATTCCCACCAACAGTCATGAAGGTTCCCTTCTCTCCACATCCTTGCCAAAACTTGTGATTTCTTGTCTTTTTGATAGTAAATAGCCTTTCTAACAGGTATGAGGTGGGACCTCACTATGGTTTTGATTTGTGTTTCCTTGATGATTTAAAAATCTTAAATTTGATATATTCTGTAAAAAGAATACATTGTCAACTAGTCTTAATGATGACTGAATGTGATAGTAGAGACTCTGTGTGGCATTTTTCCCTTCAACTTGCTCTACTTTTTTATTTTTTTCTTTGATGAATATGTAATAATATTTTAAAATAGGTAAAAACAGAAAATTGATTTTAACAATAACCTCATCATAACAACCTACAGGGAAATAAAAATAGAGCCATAACCACTCCTAATCCCAGCACCCCACCAAATCCCTGCATGCCTTTCCCAGGTGTTAGTCTTAGCCTGGCCCTTTGTGTAAAGATTAGGTTGGCATAGTTATGTTCACAGTCTGTATTCACGCCTATGTCCTGTATTTTTCTTAGAACTATCTCCAGCACCTTCCAGGATGCTTTACAATTTTATCATCACCAAATTAGGGAAACTCGGTATGAAATAAAGAATGTAAATACCTCAATAATTTGTACAGTTGACCCTTAAACAGTGTGGGGGTTAGAGGAGACAACTGCTGCACAGTCAAAAATCCACGTATAATTTTGACTCCCCAAAAACTTAACTAACAGCCCACTGTTGACCAGAGGCCTTACTGATAACATAAAGTTGATTAACATATTTTGTATGCTTCATGTATTATATATTATATCCTTAAATAAAATAAGCTAGAAAAAAGAAAATGTTTTTTCAAATTGTCACCAATCTCCAAAAAGGTTTTCAATATATTTATTGAGAAAAATCCATGTATAAGTGGACTGGCATAGTTCAAACCTGTGCTGGTCAAGGGTCAACTGTATATTTATTATGTCATGAAACGATGGTATCTGGGTTAAATAAAATATGTTATTATATTATTTTCACCTCCTTGTTTACTTTTTTAATAGTGGCTATTAGGAAATTCAACATTGTATCTCTATGGTTTTCATTGAGCTTCTCTTTGGCAGCGCTGGAACAGAGAATGCTACTAGGAATACAAACACAGAGATATTTGCATGGTGCATAGAAAATTTCTGGAAGAATGTTCAGAAAATGAAAAACAACGCTTAGCTCTGGGGCAACAAACTGGGGTCTGAGTGGGAGGAAGACTTACTTTACATTAAATATTTTTCGTAACTATTTTTTTTTTAAAGAGCCTGATATAACCCTACATCAGATGGGGCAGGGAGAGTAGCAGTGTGCAGTCCACCCATGCGGTCCAAGTCGAAGAAAGCAGAGAGAGGCCAGCAGGGCTGGGGTAGAGAGCTGGGACCTCTTTATGCCTGGAGAGTCTTCTTTTGGATGCCATGTGCAGGAGACCCACCCTTTGCACAGCCAAGTGGGGAGGGTATAAAGACAGGATGCTTTGGGAGGGTAGAAATTGGCCCTAGGCTTCCTGTGAGTGAGTGTGAGTGAGTGTGATTTAGGCACTGAGACAGAAGGAAACAAACAGCCAGAGAGAGACAGAGAGAGAGAGAAGAGAGGGCAGACTCCTGAAAATTACCTGCTGTCTACATATGAAATGCTTGCTACATATTGAAGACCATCCCCTCCTTCTGCTCTACTGTTCTTGAGATGATGTACCTTGTCCACTTGCTGAATCCCCTTTGATGACCCCTTGAGCCAGATTTGCCTGCTGGGAGCTTAGTGTGATTAGTCCTGGAGAGCAGGGCAGGCTCACACCCAGTAGAGGTACCAGAGTTGACAAGAAATGACAAGGTCTCTCAGGTCAGGAGACATGATTGCCTGCTTATGGCATGGGTAAGTCATTTTGTTAAATCTCAGCTTTCTCAGCTGTAAAAATGGAAAAGAAAGAATTCTTCAGGGTTGTGGTAAAAATCAAAAGAGGATTCTAAACACAATGTCAAGCTTATAGCAGAAGCTCAAATCAATAGTTTTTTGTTTTTGAACTACCAATAGATGTGGCTGTCCCTGGACCTTGAATATATTATACACTCCTGGTTCCGGTTTGGGCACTGCTGACACTGCTCAGGAATTTTTAGGAAAGTCTGTCAGATGCTTTCCTGGCTAAAGATACACAAATGACTCCCACAAATGACTACCTGTAGCAGGCCAGTATGTGGAACAGATAGCTCACACACGTGAGGGAGGCAGGCAAAATGGTCACCACCCAGACTCCTGAAATAGGAAAAGTGAATGAGAAGCTTTGGAAGATGAACCAGATGCAGTATTTTCAAAATGCAGAAACTCACATCGAAAAGATTTGGGCAAATATATTTCCTTTAACTCATTTTTATGTAATAATGTTTTGCTAATATTTTTGTTTCATTTTAGCCACATCTACCCTTGATATACTTTATTTCCTGTACAAGCCTCTCCTTTGGTATTAATATCTTCAATGTACAGTGAGTAATGGGAAGAGAAAATTATGGAGGATACACAAGGTAGGTAGCTTCCTTCCCTGTAAACCATTAATAGTTGAACTAATTGCCACCCCAGTAAACAGCAGTAACAATAACAGGAATCAAGAGGTCTTGACTATTCATTCATCCATCTTTCAGCAAGTTTTTAGTATTTCATATCTAATTTGCCTTTTTAAAGTGATTCTGTGTGCTGGTAATACAGGGATGGAGAAGCAGGGAAGGGAGATGATTTATGTGTGTAAAAGCTTCTGTACAAACTGGTCTGAATAGATGCAGAAAAAGCATTTGAAAAATCCAACACCTATTTATAATAAAAAACAGTCCATAAACTAGAAATAGAAGGGAACTGCCTCAACCTGATTAAAATCACCTGCAAAAATCCCACAGCTAACATCAAACTTAATGATGAAAGACTGACAGCTTTCCCCCTAAGTTCAAGAATAAGAAAATCAATGTCTGCTCCTGCCAATTTTATCCAGCATTGTACTGGAGGCTCTATCCAGGGCAATTAGACAAGAAAATGCATCCAGACTGCTAAGGAAGACTAAAACTATCTCTCTGCACCAATGACATGTTTTTTAAATTTAGAAAATCCTAGAGAATAAACAAACAAAATCCAGCTAAAACTAGTTAATAAATGAGTTCAGCAAGGTTACAGGACATAAGAGCAATATATAAAAATCAACTGTATTTCTGTACACTAGCAATGAACAATCTGAAAATGAAGTAAGAATATAACTGCATTTGCCATAGCAACAAAAAGAATAAAATACTTCAGAATAAATTTAGAGAAAGAAGTGTACAACCTGTACACTGAAAACTACAAGAGATTTTTGAAAGAAGTTAAGCAAGACCTAAATTAATGAAAAGACATCCCACTTTCATGTATTGGATGCTCTTTGTTAATATGACAATGCTCCCTTGCATTGATCTAAAGATTCAACCCAATCCCTATAAAAATTCCTACCATTTTTGTATAAGTTGACAAGCTAATCTCAAAGGGACCCAGAATAGGTAATACAGTCTTGAAAAAGAAGAACAAAATTGCAGGACTCAAAATTCCTTGATTTTAAACTTACTACAGAGCTATAGTAATGAAGGCAATATGGTACTGTCATAAAGACAGACAAATAGATCATGGAATAAATTGAGAATCCAGGAGTTAAACCCTCATTGTCAATGTATTTTAAATAAAGATGACAAGACAATTCAATAAGGAAAGAATATACTTTTCAACAAATGGCACTGGGGCAAGTGATATTCACATGCAAAACAATGAAGTTAGACCCTTACCTCATAGCTTAAAATCACCTCAAAGTGGATCAGAGGCTTACATGTAAGAGCTAAAATTATAAAAGCCTCAGAAGAAAAGATGAGAATATGGTTAGGCAATGGTTTCTTAGATATGTGCAAGTGACAAGAGAAAAACAAATCTTTAATTTCATCAAAATGAAAAACATTTGGGTTTCAAAGGATGCCATGAAAAAGCAACCCACAAAATGGAAGAAAATATTTGCAAATTATATCTCTTGTAAGGGATTTGTGTATAGAATATATAAAGAACTCATACAACTCCATAATAAACAAATAACACAATTTAAAAATAGGCAAAGAATCTCAATAGACATTATTCAGAGATGTACAAATGGCAAATAAGTACGTGAAAAAAATGTCCAACGTCATCAGTCATCAGGGAAATGAAGATCAAAACTATAATGAGATACCACCTGACACTTACTGGACAGCCATGATAAAAAAGATACCAGTGTTGGTGAAGGTAGGGAGAAACTGGACTCCCTCCTATATTGCTGGTGGGAATACACAGTGATGTAGCTGCTTTTGAAAACAGTCTGAATTCCATACATTTACAATGGTAACACAGTTACTGTATGATACAGAATTCCACTCCTAGATAGATACCCAAGACGTATGAAAATGTATGAAAAACTTGTAGATGAATCTTCATAGCAATATTACTCATAGTAGCCAAAAGCTGAAACAACCCACATTTCCATCAACTGGTGAATGGACAAATACAATGTGGTATCCTCATGCAACAGAATAAAATTCAGCAATAAAAAAGGATGAAGTTCGGATACATGCTATGACATAGATGAACCTTGTAAACATTTTGCTATGTAAAAGAAGCCAATCAAAAAGTCTATATATTGTATGACCCCATTTATAGTAAAATGTCCAAAATAGAAAAATCCATAGAGCTAGAAAAGAGTGGTTATTTAGGCCTGGGAGAGTTGAGAGGAAATGGAGAATGATTGTAAATGGCCATGCTTTCTTTTTAGGATGTAATGTTCTAAATTTGATTGTGGTGATGGTTACACAGCTTTGAGAATACACTAAAAACAATTGAAATGTACACTTCAAATGGGTAAACTGTATGGTATGTGAATTATATCTTCATAAAGTGTTTTTAAAAAAAGGAGAAAGAAAACTGATAGCCATTCCTTTCAAGTTTCCAATGTGTCTTTGTGCCAGCATCACCAGGATCATGCAGTTGCGGGTAAACGACTGTAAACCTCGGCCCTGGGAATGGGGGGTTCTTGGAAGGAAGGGATGGGAGGAGTCGGGAACAAGAGGAGTGAGCGCAGACTTGCTCCAGTCAGCAGCAAAAACATGACTGCACACTTTTAATTTAGTGCTTTTACCTCCCCAGACAAAGGTGAAGGATAATCAGCTTAAAAGTCTTGTCAAGAGGGCAGCTGTTTTAAAGCTGGACGAGATCAAGATAGAGGGAAAATGCTATGTTTTGACTCTCAAAGTGTCTGAACTTGTGAGAACTACATGAAAGGAGATAAAACATGCGTGAATATGGTGAAAGATTTCAGTTTCACCCAGACCAAGGAATAGGTTGGCATTAAAATAGTTGCCCAGAACAGGGATGGAAATGTGAATTTTTAAAAGTGTAACTTAAAATTATATAATTGAAATTGAAGATTATATGCTCACTGAGCTGAACACAAATCTACATTAAAGATGAATAAAAATGTTCCAGGGCATCAGTAAAGTATATGGTAATATGGAAGAAGCAGTACCTGCCTCAGTGTTCATGTAAAAGGTAACTTTTCCATGCCACATATGTGTAAGGGAATTTGCTCAAGTAATTTATAGTAGATCTATTCCCCTCTGGTTCTGATATTCTACAAGCTTAGGAGTCTCAAGTAAAAATATCATTTACATCACCTTTTTCATGGCTTAAAGAACATTTGGCAGTTTATTGCCACCAAATGTCAGATATACAAAGGCTTTCGGAAACCTTTTACCACTCTGTCCAAACCCCATTTTAAAGATGGAGAAACTGAGGCCAAGAAAGGGGGCCTGACTTGTCCAATGACACAGTGTTTATCCTGACATCTTGCCTGGGTCTTTTCTAACCAGAGATTAGGGAAGAACTCTCTTCCCTTCATAGACAATGGACATATAATTAGAATATGCCATTTTCAAAGAAACCTCTCATTTTAAAGAAGTGATGCCTATGGACAGAATGTTTATCTCCCCCCACAAAATTCATATGTTGAAGCCCTAATCCCCAGTATGATGGTGTTTGGAGAGGCAGCCTTTGGAGGTCATTAGGTCATGAGGGTGACCCCTTGTGATGGGATTAGTGCCCTTATAAGAAGAGATGGGAGAGTGCTTCCTTGCTCTCCCCGTTCTCCAGCATTTGAGGATGCAAAGAGAAGACGGCCACTGGTAAAGCAGGAAGCAGGCCGTCACCAGACAATGGACCTGCCAACACCTTCTCTGTCTCCAGAACTTTGAGAAACAGATGTTTGTTGTTTATACAGCCTAGTCTATGTTGATTTGTCACAGAAGCCCAAACTAAGCAGAAATTAAATTTGAAAGATAAATACTCATATAGTCATTAAGAAAAGTCAAGACTTGCTTTCCAAAGTGAAAAAAATGACGATATTAGTTGTTCCCACTGACACCAAAACAAAATAGGATATTTCAGATGAGAAATTTCTCAGATATTCAGCCCCAAGTAGGTTTTAACAAAAAGTGTCCTGTGTCTGACTCCTTTGTCTTTCTAGTTGACACAAGGAGGCTTGTATCAGTTGTAACACATTTTCCTCCAAGGCCAGTCACCTCATGCAGGTAGTATTAATACAAGCAGCAATAATTACTACAGTGCACCTGCCACCAGTTACAGGTCCCTCTCTGTCTCCCACACAGGTGGCAGGAAGAAAAGTGGCTGGACAGTTTTACCTTTGCTGACGCTCATCAGCTCTTTCACCTGCAGGATGACTGGGGTCAGGGCCCCTGACTGGTTCACGGAGGCGATATAGTTCTCCAGCTTGCCTTCAAACACATCCAGCTCATCTCTTACATACATGAACATGCAGAACTCAATGACAATGAACTGAGGACACAGAGCAAATGTTTCAAGGTCTCACCTGAGTCCAGCTCAGTATGTGAATAACATACGGGTCTTTTTTTGGTTTTGAGTTCAAAACTCATCTGAAATAGACACTGAACACTGGCTATACTGAGATAAATGGGATTGTGACTTCTTTGGAGACAGGAGTCCCCCCAAACTCTGTTCTTCAGCCTATAGCATACAGACTAGGCACAAAAAGGGCTCAAAGAACTCTTCAAAAGCAAATAGATCAGAGTGAAATGAATGCCTAACTTTCAATGAGTAGTGACCTTGGGTACAATTCTAGCCAACTCTCTCACTGCTCCCCTTCTTGTGTCTTGGCCAGTAACCACACTGAAGAAGGGGCTGCTTCATGTACACGTTACCCTTGCTCACCCCCGTTATCCTGCATCATGCCCTCATGCTTCCTGTCATCATGCCAAAGCTTCTAGAGTTCTGCTGCCATTTTATTTCACCAACTGAATCTTGTTCATCTTTGAATGTGGAGCTTAAAGACTACTGTCTTCAGGGAGTTTCTCAATCTAGAATAATTCAGAGCACTTTCACCTTTGTATCATACAAAGTATTTTCACTGCCTTAAAAATCTTCCACCTATTCATCTATCCCTCCCCCCTAACCCTTGGCAATCACCGATCTTTCACTGTCTTTCTAATTTTGCCTTTTTTCAAATGTTACTCATTTGAAATCATATAGTATGTGTCCTTTACAGATGGGCTTCTTTCACTCAGTAATATGCATTTAAGTTCCCCCCATGTCTTTTCATGGCTTAATAGTTCATTTCTTTTTAGTGCTGAATTGTATTCCATCTTCTGGGTGTACTAGATGATATACCCAGTCACCTGAAGGTGATTCTGCATTTTGGCAATTATGTATAAAGCTGCTATAAACATCCACACTCAGTTTTTTGTGTAAATTTAAGTTTTCAACTCCTTTGGGTAAATACTGAGAGGTGATTATTGATCATATGGTAAGAGCTTGTTTAGTTTTGTAAGAACCCATCAAACTTTTCCAAAGTGACTGTACCATTTTGTATTTCCACCAGCAATTAATGAGAGTTCCTATTGCTCCACATCCTTGACAGCATTTGGTGCTGTCAGTGTTCAGATTTTGACAATTCTAATAGGTGTGTAATAGTGTCTCATATTGTTTTCATTTGTATATCCTTGTATGCATATTCCAAAGCATCTTTTATCATGTTTACTTGCCATCTGTACATCTTCTTTGTGAGGTATCTATTAAGGTCTTTAGTTCCTTTTCAACAGAGTTTATTTTCTTATTGTTTACTTTTAAGCGTTCCTTGTATATTTTTGATAATAGCCTTTATAAGATGTGTCTTTTATAAATATTTTCTTGCAATGTATGGCTTGATTTTTCATTCTCTTGACAGTGTCTTTTTCAGATCAGAAATCTTTTATCTTAATGAAGTACAGCTATTCTTTTTTTCATGAATTATTTGGTGTCATATCTAAAAAGTAATCACCAAACCCAAAGTCATCTAGATTTTCTCCTATGTTATTTTCTAGGATTTGTGTAGTTTTGCATTTGACACTGAGGTCTGTGATACATATTAAGTTAATATTTATGAAGGGTGTAAGGTCTGTGTCTAAATTCATTTTTCTCAATAGTTTTAGCACCATTTGTTCCATTGTATTGCCTTTGCTCCTTTGTCAAAGATAATGTTCTATTTCTTGACTCTCTATTCTATTCCATTGGTTTATCTGCCATCCTTTTGCCAACACAAGTCGTGATTAGTGTAGTTTTATAGTAAGTTTTGCAATTGAGTAATGTCGGTCCTCTAATTTTCTTCTTCTCCTTTAATGTTGTGTTGGCTATATTATTAGTCTTTTGCCTTTCCATATAAACTTTAGAACCAGTTTGTCAATATCCACAAAATAACTTTCTGGGATTTTGATTGGGGTTGCACTGAATTCCCAATATATAGAGATCAAATTGGAAGAATGGTAGCTCAATAATATTGAGTCTTCCTATCCATGAACATGGAAATCTCTACATTATTTACTTAGTTCTTTGATTTCTTTTAACAGAGTTTTCTAGTTTTTCTCATATACAGATCTTGTACATATTTTGTTAGATTTACACCTAAGTAGTTCTATTTTTGGGGGGTGCTAATGTAAATGGTACTGTGTTTTTTTTATTCCAAATTCCACTTGTTCATTGCTGGTATAGAGAAGAGCAATTGATTTTTGTTATGTTAATCTTGTATCCTACAACCTTGCTATAACTGCTTATAGGTTTTTTTTTTGTTGATTCTTTCAGCTTTTCTACATGCACAATCATGTCATTTGTGAACAGAGATATTTTTACTTCTTCCTTCCCAATCAGTGTATCTTTTATTTCCTTTTCTTGTCTTATTACATTAGCTAGGATTTCCAATAAATGTTGAAAAGGAATGATGAGAGGGAACATCTTTGCCTTCTTCCTAATCTTAACAAGAAAGCTGCTAATTTGTCACCATAAAGTATGGTGCTAGCTACAAGTTTTTTGTTGCTATTTATCAGATGAGGAAATTCCCCTCTATTCCTAGATTACTGAAAAATTTTATCATGAATTGATGTTGGATTTTGTTAAATATTTTTTCTGCATCTACTGATATGGTCATGTGATTTTTCTGCTTTAGGTTGTTGATGTGATTACATTAATTGATTTTTAAAAATATTGTACTGGTTTTGCATATCTGGATTAAATCCCACTTAGTTGTGGTGTATAATTCTTTTTATACATTATTGGGTTTGGTTTGCTAATGTTGTGTTTAGGATTTTTGCATCTATGTTCATAAGAGATATTGGGCTGTAGTTCTCTTTTCTTGTAATATCTGTGGTTTTGGTATTAGGATGATGCTGCCTCATAGAATGAGTTAGGAAGTATTCTCTCTGCATTTATCTTCTGAAAGACATCATAGAGAATTAGTACAATTTCTCCCATAAATACTTCATAGAACTTACAAGTGAACTCATCTGGGCCTGGTACTTTCTGTTTTAATCATTACTTATTGATTCAATTTCTTTAATAGAGGATGGCCCATTCAGATCACCTATGTCTTCTTGTGTGAGCTGTGGCAGATTGTGTCTTTCAAGGAACTGGTCCATTTCATCTAGGTTATCAAATTTGTGGGCATAAAGTTGCTCATAGTATTCTTTTATTATTCTTTTCATGTCCATGCAATCTGTAATGATGTTCCCTCTTTCATTTCTGACGTGACTAATTTGTGTCCTCTCCCCTTCTTTCTTAGTCTACCCATATAATATTCTTGCTCCTTAACCTCTTCTTTTTTTGTTTGTTTTCTTTTCTTTTTTTTAAATCAAAGTATTGTTGATATACAATCTTATGTTGGTTTTGGTTCAAATTATTTTTAATTTCTCTTGAGATTTTTTCTTTGACCCATGTTACTTAAACTGTGTTGTTTAATTTCCACTGTTTAGGGATTTTCCAGTTCCTTTCTGTTATTAGTTTCTAGTTTAATTCCATTGTGGCCTGAGACCACATTGATTTCCATGGTCTGAGGTCACACTGAAACCACTGAGACTATCCTTTAAAAAATTTTAAGGTGTATTTTATGGTCCAGGATGGGGTTTTCTTGGTGAATTTTCCATGTAATCTTGAAAAGAATGTGTATTCTGTTGTTGTTGATGAAGTAGTCTATGGATGTCCAAAATATTTGACTGACGGACAGTGTCAATTACAGTTCAGATTTTCCTACCTCAGCACTGGTTCCCATGGGGTTTCTGTTCCATTCTGTTGTGATTTTCTATATGCATCTGTCTCTCTCCAATTTTAGGGTCAATGGTTTGCTCTATGGCCTCACTTCTCTTACAGATCTAAGAACTATTCATTTTTCAGTTTGTTCAGATTTTTACTTAATAGGAAGAAGTAATGTCTTTCAAGCTTTTTACATATGAAATTGGTGACCAGAAGTTTCCATAAATGATTATATTTCCCTGTAATATTCATCGTGAGGGTAAAAGTGCCCTTGGAGTCAAAATGATGGGGTCAAAGAATTATACTTCCTTGATTTATAGAGTTTCAATTTTGACCCAGCCTTTTCAATCCCTGCAGCATTTATAAAATAGAAAAGGATTTGCTCAGATCTACTTACAAGGTACAGGCAGATAAAAGCCAACACAGTGGTTCCAATCATTCTGCTTGGGAACCGAAAGCAGGGGTCCCACTCATATATCCTGGTTTGGAACCAAGATTTCTTTTTCTCCCTGTGAATGAATAAACACCAAGAAAAGATAGGTTGTGGTTGGTAAACAAATGCTTGATTCTTCTGAAAATAACTCATTTGCTCCTCTTTACCTTAGAGTTGAGTGAAGTGAACGAGCAGTGGTGCATTCTAGTTTTCACTTTCCCCTTGTTCTTAAGAACAGACTCAGTTTCATTCAGTGCAGCAATTCATCAAACTAAAAGGCTATAGTTCCTGACCTCTCCTCCCAGGTAAGAGTGAGGAAGACTTAAGTACAAGCCAATTAGATGTGACCAGAGATATGGGTGGGACAATGGGGAGGGTGCTTCGATGGAGCCGACACAGCTGCCCTTTCTTCTTTATCCTGCCTGCTGCCTAAATACAGACATGGTGGCTGGTCCAAGCTGGAGCCCCAGGATCTATCCTGGACCATGGACAGCCTGCATGATGGAAGCCACTAAGATACTGGAGCAGAAAGACAGCTGATTGGTAAAGTGCCATGGTGGACAGTCCAGGGTTAGTATGGACTGACTGCCTCCAGAATTCTTTTGTGTGGGAAAAAAACAAATCTTTCTCGTTTGTGCTACTATTACTTCGCGTGTTCTGCTATCTGTAGCCAAGTGCAGTCCTAATCAAAGTAATAGTGATCTATTGTGTGGCTTTGAACCGGACATGTCCCTTCTCTGGGGTATATTCCCCCAAACACAGTGACAGTGGCAGGGCTAGGGTGGCCTGTATGGTCGCTGGAGATCAGGTGCTTGTGCCTGGCCAAGAGCTGTGTCCTCTTTTATTGGTAATAGTACCTCAGTTTTTCTCTGAGAATCTGCCCCTTCCTAAACATCTGTCCTAGGGGTGAAGTGGGGCTGAACCACTTCCTAGTCCGAGTGGTGAACATGTAACCCAGGCTTTATGTAGTCCAATCACCTAGCCACAGTACTTAGTTCTGAGATGGCATGTGGTCCAATTTGACTGAACGAAACACACTCATGGGGCTTTTGTTTGAATTATTAGAAAGTAAATTTCTCTTTACTATGAGCTTAAATCAGAAGGGTATAAGCTTAGAGATTCTGGAGGCCATCGTGAGGAGGAAGCCCACCTAACTATGAAGCTAACACAGATAAAAGCAAAGAGGGGACGGGGAAAAGAGACCTAGTTTTGATGATATCAAGTAAGCCCCTGGACCCATCTGTCAGAAGCTGAATACCTCTAGACTTCCTAATTCTCTAAGGCCATAAACTTCCTTTTTCTCTTTAATCCAGTTTTAGTTGAGTTTCTGTTATCAGCAAACGAGTGCTGATTAACCCAGTGCCTTCCAGTCACCTCAGAGTCTCCCACTGTCAAGGCTCAACGTCGGTGCAAACACCAAGTGGCAAAGAAACCAACTGTGCCTTACTGCGGGGGATGCCTCCTCAGGAGCTGCTTGACGTGCTGCCCCTGGTGAACTTCCAGGAAAGGCTTTTCTTCCTGTGAGAAAAGAAAGAGGTGTGTGCCTTGGCTCACAAATTCTTGTTAAGGTTTAGGTCTCTTTTGAGAGGCTATCGCCACAGAGGGCAAGAATTGAGCTACGCTTCTGGACTGAGCCCTTCCCAGACACCTGCCATTTACTGAAGACAGGGACAGGGTCCAGGCTCTGTTTACTGAGCACTTGCTTTCGTAAAATGCCAGTGGTCTGGCCTTCTTTGACCCTTCAGCTTACCAACTGTACTAGTCACTGTTTTTGTGAAGCCTTTTTTTCCCTTTGAGGTTTGGCAATTGCCCGTCATAGTTCAATACATTGTTTTAAGAATGAAACAACCAAATTCCATGTTTCTACTTTTAATGAGTGAGAGTGTCTCCCGTTCATCTTATTTTGCAGTATTTAAAGAAATGAACTTCGGTGGTATGTATATGTTTTCCTCATTATAATGTTTTCTCCAAGTATAATGGAGCTTTTGACGATAGTGCCTTAAGGAATTAGAGAGGACGCACCATGGTGAATAGAAAGCCTCAGCAGTCACACTGTCTGGGCTGCAGTCCTGGCTCTGCTACAGACTAGCTGCATGACCTTGGGAGATGCGGTGCTGCTCTCTGGGTCCAAGTTTCCTGACACAGGATGGGAGAAGCACTGATAGTACCTCCCTCACAGCGCTGCTGTGAAGACCAGACCTGTCGGGACACACATCGTGCTTATCGTTGGTACTCACCGTCCGGGGCTCCCGGCCCAGGCAGACCTTCAGAGACTTGACAAACATGTGCAGGAAGCGGCCCAGCAGGAAGGCCAGACACAGAAGCGAAGGCCAGTAGAACATGACAGTCTCGTACCTCCCCACAAACTGCAACAGAGAGACCACGGGGTGCGGGCTCTAGGTGGGCCAGGCCGGGCCTCTGGCGAAGGTGTGGACAGCAGGCTGCCTGCTCCAGGCTGCTCCTGCCACTGGCCCGGCCTGCTCTCCCCGCTTTCTCTGGCTCTGACGTCAATAACCAGTCCTGCTCCCCCAACCCTGCAGCCCTGGAACGAGCAGTGGACTTGGAGTCTAGCCGCCCTGGATTAGAGTCCTAACACCCTTGTTTTATTCTATACAAAGGGTTTTCATGGCCTTTTTTAAAAAATTAGGTATTAAATGCTTCTTTTGGGAAATACACACGAGAGAGGGAGGGCAAGGGAGAGAAAGAGAAGTGAGGAGGGGAGACAGAGAATGGAAGGATGGAGATGGGGAAGGGGGAGAGAGACGCAGAGAGAGGGAGAAACAGAGAGGAAAGAAGGTGGGGCAGGGAGGACCAACACAACTGCCATCGTATTGGGAGCCACACAGGCGCCCAGGAGTGACAGGTCTCTCAAGATGGTGCTCATAGTTTTCCTGTATTTTTAGTTTCATTTTGGTGGCAAAAAATGTTTTTATTGTTTTCAGACAAATAATATTGTGGCTTATCGTTCACAGTTTACTGGTTGGTTACGTTCTTTTGTTTACAGAGTATTTCCCCCAGGGAAAGGCAGGGTTTCTGCTGTGATGCTGGGGTACAGGAAGGAGACATGCTGGGCTGTGGGGGCTCGTGTCTTCCCTTTGTCCATCTCCCCAGTGCAGGCTTACAGCCGAGACAGAACCACTGCTGATATGTCAGTGTCTTCCATCCATAGCTGTGTCCATATATCCGTATCTATTATAAATTGAGATAGTGCCAAATATATTTCCTTCCAAATACACAGGTCTGTATATAACATAATAATTTCTCCACATGGTTAGAAATTATTTGCACACATCACTTTTAATACTCCTAAATGCATTCTAGTTTTCACTTTCCCCTTGTTCTTAAGAACAGACTCAGTTTTATTCAGTGCAGCAATTCATCAAACTAAAAGGCTATAGTTCCTGATGTCTCCTCCCAGGTAAGAGTGAGGAAGACTTAAGTACAAGCCAATTAGATGTGACGGAGATATGGGTGGGACAATGGGGAGGGTGCTTCGATGGAGCTGACACAGCTGCATTTAGATGAACCAAACTTTATTTAAACTGTCTCCTAGTATTTGACATTTTAGATTCTTTCCAATGTCTTGTTTTCATAAATAATGTTTCCATGAATACAGTTGAAAACAAAAGACCAAACTTTTGTTATTACCTTAATCTGGATTCTAGTCTCATGATTTTTTAACTAGTGAGTCATGTTAGTCCCTGAGCCTCACTTTCTCGTTAGTGAATTGGGAATGGCACTAGCATACTGTCTTCAAAGTATCTGGAGGGCTCAGGGGTTAATTTTGGGACTAAGCCTTTGTGTTTAGCAGAGAGCAGTTCTTGAAGTTAGTGATTCTGAGTATAGAAGTAAGATTGTGCCCTCTCCCTTAATTAACCATGCTTATTTCAAATTTCAAAAGAACCTCCAGATCTATCCAAGGCTCCAAGAAAAAAAAAAATATCTGTGATCAGGCAGTGTTGAACAGCATGAAGGAGGGCATCTTTTGCAGTGCAGAGAACAGAGGGAAGCCCCAGGTCCCAGGCCTCATTTTCTAATCTGGCTCCCCAGACTCTCTTTATCCCACTCTTCAATCCTCCGTGGTTACTATAGTCCAGGAGAGGCTTTGGCAAAGCAACCCTTCTAGGTGCAGGGCGACATCCCTCTTTCATCTTGCTCCTTTTCCTGGGGTACAAGGCTGAACACATGAACTAGTTTCCTCAAATTCCATGGAGGACAATGCAATGGAAGGGGTTCATCTAGTCTGAGTGCCATTTTATAGACAGAGAAGCTGAGGCTACAGAAAGGAGTGGAAAGAAATGAGCTCTAGAGTCAGTCAGACCTGGTCTCAACTCCCAAATCTGCTGCTTCTTAAGTCATTTAAGAAACTTGGGCTTCAGTTTCCTCACCTATAAAACAGGTTTGCTGAGAGCTTCCCCACCTTGAGGGGATGCTGTAAGCACCAACTGAGAGAACATCTGTCTGTGAATGAGCATAAAATGCTATACAAATGGAAACATCATGAATGGCTCCAACTCTCCTTTTGTTCACATGAGGGAGCTGAGGCCCAGAGAGTGGCAGAGGCTTGTACAATGTCACACAGCCTGTTGGCCATGGTGATGGGACTAAACAGTCTAAACAGCTCAGCAGGGACTCACCTGCCCATGGGGACATTCTGTGATGTGAAGGATGGTGACAGCAAACCTGGAGGACAGAAACAGGGCTTGGGCACTGGGGTCCCTCCAGTGGGGCAGCCACTGTGCAAACAGCCTAGATTCTACCTGCTGGAGTTACCTACTGCTCCCCATCTTTTCCCAGGCCTCTGTGTAGATCTCACCCAGATCAGGCATCCTGTGTGTGCCAAAATGCAAGCATACTAAATTAATTTCATATGCGCTCATTTAGGACACAATCCCCAAATCTGCAAGAGCAGTGCACGAAGACCCTGAAAGATCTCATCTTCCCTCCCCATGACTCAGGTGGAGAGACTGAAGCCCCAAGTCACACCCAGAGTCAGGACCAAGACCCAGGTCTCCTGATTCTGGTGCCAACACTCTTTCTCCCTGGACCTGGCCTTGTCTGTAAGCACTGCCCTGAGGAATCAGCCTCAAGGCTTTGCCCCTCTGGACACGCACTGCGGGTCATGTTCAAGCTTGATCCATACTCCCAAACTGTCCAAGCTGCTGGGTCATTCTTACCACCCTTTCCTCTCCTGGTCACAAAGTCTGTCAGAGGCTGATGATATTACTCCATATCTGACCCTGGGCACCCTCTTTTAATTTTTAAAATGCAACCCACTTCAAACTATGGAATTGTAGCCATTGGTGTGTCTGTTGTCTGTGAGCCTCCTGCAGTGGCCCACACATGGCGCCTGAGGACCCTCACCCCCTAGAAACGCTGTATGAGGGAAGCCAGCCCAGTAAGGGGGACACGGGCCAGAAAGCAGAATTGCTCATGGGCCTAGTCAGACAGTAATAGTCCTGGGGCCACTCTGTGCTGGGCCTGGTGCCCATGCTGAGCACATAGCTATCACTGGACCCAGCTGGGGCAGATGATTGCAGAGAAGAGCAGCATACAAAGACCAGAGCCCATGAGTCCTGAGGGCCTGTCTTGTTTCCCAGCACACTCTCTGGCTTGATGTGGCCTGCTTGCTGAACGAGTAAGTGGATGGGAAAGGAATGTAGGAGTCTTGTGTGACTGGAGGTGTGTGCTAGAGACTGTTAGAGGGGGAGACACAGGAAGAGGCCTGACTGTGATGCCCTGCATGACAAGCTGAGGCACATGGACTTTCTCCTGGGCCGCCAGGGAAGCCACGACAGTATGGAGAAGCATCCAAATGGGACTCCTGTGCCCCCCCCCCCCCAGTGGGACCCTTTGTAGTTTATAGAAATGAATTTTTCTATATTCCTGACTTCTGGGAGTATTCTTTTCATGAGTGGCCTCATGTGAAGCAGACAGAATGGCCTGACCTTCTGAAGCCTCAAGTGCAGGTACAAGCAGAGGCTGCAGTGGGACCTTGAACCAGTTACCCCATTTGTCCACCCTGAGCCTCGGCTCCAGGCAAAGTTGACCTCCATGGAGAGCTCTCAGGTCACCTCCAGCCCTTTGTCCAGGGTTCACCCATGGCCAAAGTAGTTACAGGAGAGCAATCAGTCAGACTCTGTCTTACCAAACCAGAGAGTAGCTGAAGCCAAGGATGGAGCTGACCAGCTGGAACTCCGATGAGAGGCAGGCAAAGAAGGGGAAGTGGGACAGGCCGACTTCGATACCTCCAATCAGAAGCACAAAGGCTGGAAGAGAAAGGGCCAGAGATGCTGTGAGTTTCTCTTCTTACAGGCTCAGCAGAGTCCCAAGGAAGCATTGGGGCTTTATGCTGACTTCCAGTCACAGACCTCAAAACCCAAGAAGGTGAGGGGACAAGCCTCAGCTCAGCACAAGAGGAAAGCAAGAATGTCTTTCATTTATTCTCACAACAGACCCTTCTTGGTACCTCTTCCATGCAAGGCACCAGCTAACTATTGAGATAAAGAAGACTTGGTCTCTATTCTTGGTTAGCTCACAGTATGGTGGGTGGAGACCACAAACAAAAATCACTGGGAGTAAAGCACTGCAAGTGCACAGTGGCAACACAAAGAGAGGCGATGTGCTGAGTGCATGAACCTCCTGTCACCACCATGCACTTTATACAAAGGGTGATGAAATTCTGCTACTGACTAGCTCTTAGATGATTTAACAGGATCCAGTGAAATCTAACCATGCAAGACAATCTTTATAAACTATCCATTGGGAGCTAGGTCCTGGGCCAGGCACTGAATTCCAACATTCAGATGGAATGAACAAGTGTCTTGCTTTAAAATGCTTATAGTCTAATAGAGAAAACAGGGAGGAAAGTAAGTGATGGGATATATACTGTAACAGAGGCATATTCAACCTGCCAGGAGGACAAGAGTAGGAAGCTACTGTCCTCACCTGGGGGCTGGGTATCAGGGAAGGCTTCCTGGAGGTGGTGACATTTAGCATGCCCAGGGAATATATGCATGAATTTGTAAGGTAGAGAGAAGGAGGGAAGGAAGGACATTATTTACTCAAAGGATGGGAGATGGCTGGTTGGACAGTATTTATTTATTTATTTAAAAATTTTATTAAGGTATTATTGATATATACTCTTATAAAGGTTTCACATGAAAAAACAATGTGGTTACTATATTTAACCATATTAAGTCCCCACCCACACCCCAATACAGTCACTGTCCATCAGTGTAGTAAGATGTTGCAGATTCATTATGTGCCTTCTCTGTGCTACACTGTCTTCCCCGTGATCCCCCACACCATGTGTACTAAACATAATACCCCTCAGTTCCCTTCTCCCTCCCTCCACACCCACCCTCCCACACCCGTCCCCTTTGGTAACCACTAGTTCCTTCTTAGAGTTTCTTAAGTCTGCTGCTATTTTGTTCCTTCAGTTTTGCCTCATTGTTATACTCCACAAATGAGGGAAATCACTTGGCACTTGTCTTTCTCCGCCTAGCTTATTTCACTGAGCATGATGTCCTCCAGCTCCATCCAGGTTGTTGCAAATGGTAGGATTTGTTTCTTTCTTATGGCTGAATAGTATTCCATTGTGTATATGTACCACTTCTTCTTTATCCATTCATCTACTGATGGACACTTAGGTTGCTTCCATATCTTGGCTATTGTAAAAAGTGCTGCAATAAACATAGGGGTGTATATGTCTTTTTGAATCTGAGAAGTTGTATTCTTTGGGTAAATTCCAAGGAGTGGGATTCCCAGGTCAAATAGTATTTCTATTTTTAGTTTTTTGAGGAACCTCTATACTGCTTTCCATAATGGTTGAACGAGCTTACATTCCCACCAGCAGTGTAGAGGGTTCCCCTTTCTCCGCATCCTCACCAGCATTTGTTGTTCTTAGTCTTTTCGATGCTGGTCATCCTTACTGGTGTGAGGTGATATCTCACTGTGGTTTTAATTTGCATTTCCCTGATAATTAGTGCTGTGGAGCAACTTTTCATGTGACTGTTGGCCATCTGAATTTCCTCTTTGGAGAACTGCCTTTTCATATCCTCTGCCCATTTGTTAATTGGGTTATTTGCTTTTTGGGTGTTGAGGCGTGTAAGTTCTTTATATATTATGGATGTTAACCCCTTGTCGGGTATGTCATTTACAAATATATCCTCCCATACTGTAGGATGCCTTTTTGTTCTGTTGATGGTGTTGGACAGTATTTATTATACGAATTTGAGTGGTGGAACATTGGTAGGAAAAGACAATATAAATTAGAAGAATAATTCCTGTGAGGAGGGAAGCTGCAACTGCATAATTAAAAAATTTACCTGAATTCCCCCACTATAGAAGCAGACAGAGCAACTAATATGGCAAAACCAAAACCCACAGATAACATCTCAATAAATCTAGGCAACAAGATACATTTGCTATCAACATCTAAGTAAAAGGAAGCAGAGGGAAGGGAATGGATGTTTGAAGGCCTGAGAACAGAACCCCAGCTTCCCAGGAGATACTCACAGGAAACTGAAGCTGAAATAACAGCTAAAACTGGGCAGGTGCTGAAGGCTATGATTCATGGGGGAGAAAAAGCAGACCTTAGTAAGTCTGAGGATGCTGGAGTGGTCAGGGCCTGTGAACCAACTATACTAAACACCCAAGTCCCCTCCCAGGACAGAGCCCCTCATTGGGCTGCCAATAGTGAGGATCTAAAATGAGCAGGACAGGAGCATTAGGAGCTGGGAAACAGTGGGTCCAGACAAAAGCGGAGGGAAGAAGCTGATCAGAGAGTGTGAGGATATAAGGAGGATACACAAACGTAATCACTTTGTGAACTCTGAAAAGAGACATCTAGAGCCATGAAGTAAGAAATGATGTTCTGGCTCAGCCAGGTGCTCAGTGTCATTAGTCTTTAGGAAAATGTAGATCAAGGGAACAGTGAGATACTACTTCACATATACTAAAATGACTGTAACTAAATAAACAAAAAAACCCAGAAAATAAGTGTTGGCTAGGATGTGGAGAAATTGGAAACTTCACACATTACATTGCAGATCAATGGAACAGAGCAGAGGGTGGAGAGACAGACCCATATGTATGTAGCCAGTTGATTCTGATAAAGGTGCAAAGGCAATTTTGTGGGCAAAGGACAAGTTTTTGGAACAAATAGTGCTGGAACAAAAGAATAACCAAAGGCAAACTGCCCCCCCAAAAAGAACAAAAACAAAGGAACTGTGACCCATATTTCATACTGTATGCAAAAAAATTAACTCAAAATGTATCACTGACCCAAATGCAAAATGTCACAAGACCAAAACATCTAGAAAAAACATAGGAAAAAATCTAAGTCACCTTAGATTAGGTAGTTTTCTTATATGACATCATGCATGATCTATAAAAGAAAAAAGGAATAAATTGGATTTCATCAAAATTTTAAATGTCTGCTTTTCAAAAGAAACTGTTGGTAAAATAAAAATACAGACACAGATTGCAGGAAAGTATTTGTAATTCATACCTCTGATACAGGACATATATACAGATTATATAAAGAACTCCTGAAACTCAGTAAGAAGGAAAAAAAATTTTTAAACATAGGCAAATGATTAGAAAATACACTTCACCTAAGAAGGCATAAGGACAGCGAATAAACACATGAAAATATGTTCAGCATCATTACTGATTACACAAAAGCAAATTAAAAACACAGTAAGACACCACTACCTGCCTCTTAGATTGGCTATGTGCTGTCGAGATTATTGGGAAACTGGAACTATCCTACACTGATGGTGGTAATCTAAAGTAGAACAATCCAAGCTAAAAAGCTTCTGCTCAACAAAGGAAGCCATCAACAAAACAAAAAGGCGACCTACTGAATGGGAGATGTATCTGTTAATGGACTAATATCCAAAATATATAAAGAACTCATACAACTCAATACCAAAAAAACAAATAATCTGATTTAAAAATGGGCAGAGGACCCGAATAGTTATTTTTTCCAAAGAAGACATACAGATGGCCAATAGACACATGAAAAGATGCTCAACATCACTAATCATCAGGGAAATGCAAACCAAAACTACAATGAGATATCACCTCACCCCATTCAGAATGGCTAATATCAATAAGACAAGAAATATCAAGTGTTGGTGAAGAAGTGGAGAAAAGGCAACCCTCGTACATTGCTGGTCGACTCAAATTGGTGCAGCCACTGTGGAAAGCAGTATGGAGGTCTCTCAAAGAACTAAAAATAGAAATGCATGACCCAGCAATTTGACTTATGGGAATTTACTTGAAGAAAACAAAATCATTAATCCAAAAAAATATATGCCCTCTTATGTTTATTGCAGAATTATTTACAATTGCTAAAATATGGAAATAACCTAAATGTCCATCAATAGATGAGTGGGTACATACATACAATGGAACATTACTCAGCCATAAAAAAGGATGAAATCTTGTCATTTGTGACAATATGGATGGACTTAGAGGGTATTATGCTAAGTGAAGTCGGACAGAGAAAGACAAATACCATGTGACTGCACTTATATGTGGATTCCAAAAAACAAAACAAATGAGAACAAAATGATTTAGATTCAAACACAAGAACAGACTGGTGATTGCCATAGGGGAGGAAGTGGGGGGATGGGTGAAAAAAATGAAGGGAGAAGAATTAGTGAGAATGTTTTGTATCTTAATCTGGGCAATGATTACATGAATGTAAACACATGTCAAAATTCATCATGCTGTACACTGGGATTTGGGCATTTTATCATATGTACCTCAACATAAAAAAATTTTTAATAAAAATATTTTAAAATTTTTAAATAAAGGGAGGGAATCTAGTGAGAGAGATGGGAGAACATAGGTAATAGATTATCAAGGGAAGAGAGAATTTTATGGAATGTACATTATCTTCAAATGCTTTACATTAATCATGAAAAATAAAGAATAAAGTGTTTCCATTGCAAAAAAAAGAAGCAGCCTGTTTTTTAAATGTAAAATAAAAACAAATATTTAACCCTGAAAATAAGATAAAATAAAACAAAATAAAATAAAATGGAACAATCATTTTGGAAAACTGTTTGACAGTTTCTTAAAAAATATGATCTACTACATGATTAATATGATCCAGCCATTCCACTCATAGATATTTACCCAAGAAAAATAAAAGCATAATACATACAAAGACTTGGACAAGTGGTGTTCAAGAACTCTCAGCAGCTTAATTTGCAATAGCTAAAAACTAGAAATAAATAAAGTGTTCATCAACATGTGAATAGATAACACAAGCTTTAATTTCTCCATATAGTGAACTACTATACAGCAATAAAATAAAAAGAATGAATTTCTGGAACATGTTAAATCACAAAAAGAACTATGTGGTGTGAAAGAAGCCAAACCAAAAAAAAAGAGTACATTCTGTATGATTTCATTTATTTAAAATTCTGGAAAATGCAAACTAAGCAGCGATGAGGGCAGTGACAGGATATGGGTGGGATGGACAGATCACAAAAAAGAGGGGCAAGTAAACTTCTGGGGTTCATTATATTGATTGTGGGGATGACTTCATGGATGTAAACATTTGTCAAACTGTATCAAATCATTTACTTCAGAGAAGTATGTGGTAGTGTTTCATTTTGGTTTGAATTTGCATTTCCCTGAAGATGAATGAGATGTTGTTAGGCATTTCCTCATATAGGCTCAGAGCCCATAAGAGAGAACTGGCCTGGATGGGGAGGTCTGGAAATCACCATATTAGGGATGGTTGCTTCTTTAGGAAGAGTGTGAGGCATGGGGAACAAAGAAGCATCAGACCAGTGGCCAAAGAAGCAAGCCATGTTCTTTAAGGAGGAATCCTAGCACTTGCTGACATCAAGAAGGCAGAAAAGGCTATGACTTAGGAGAGGTTTTCAGGGTGGGAGATGATGACCCTACTTTCTGGGTCTTTGTTCCAACATGCTTGAAGGACCCCTGAACCTAACTGGGGGAAAGCTGCCACAAACAAGATTTGAGACTTTGTGGGCTCGGCGTTTTCCTTGGTTAAGTAACAGGCTAGGAAGAACACGGACAGCTCACAGTTTATCCCCACATCCCAGAGAACCCCTGCTGCTCAGTGTCTGAGAGCAGGAATCCCCCAGCGCGATGCCCGGCAGGCCTGAGGCAGCCCTAGTACCTTGGGCCCACTGTGGGATCTGCAGAGGCTGGTAACCTTCTGAAAACAGGAACATGACCTTATTGGCTGTGGCCCCAAAGGCGATTCCATATGACCATTCCCCCAGCGCGATGCCCGGCAGGCCTGAGGCAGCCCTAGTACCTTGGGCCCACTGTGGGATCTGCAGAGGCTGGTAACCTTCTGAAAACAGGAACATGACCTTATTGGCTGTGGCCCCAAAGGCGATTCCATATGACCATCGGTTACTAAAAGTGCCCACAAAGTCCAGAGGTCTGTGAACGAGAGAAAAGCTTGTGAGGCCAAAAGGTGGCTCATTCCCACAGGTCATCTCCAAAGTATTTATCCCAGCAGGAGAAGGGATTGCTGGGTAGTGAACTATTTATTTTAACTGACATTTTCTGAGGCCCTCTGTGCCAATTTTGTGGCTAGGCATGGATTCAGCTACTGAAGTAAGGAAGACATGATCTTTCCCTTTAAGGAGCTCCAAAGTCTCAGGGGGCAAAGCAGGGACACCAGCAGCCAGACAACAAGCAAAATGGAATGAGTTTCAGCTATGAGAGACACAGGCAATACTCCAAGAGACCAAAAGAAGCAGTACGTTCTAGACAGTCATGGGGGAGCCTGTCCTGCACCCGGCCTGTGCATGAGAGTTCATTCCCATATCACTGGGAAGCTCTGGATATCATCTGCTGTGCTGATTCCACATCATCATACCTACTGGCCATTGCTGATTTGGACCATGGGTGACCACCTGACTGGATGAGACAATCAGATGCCTGATCTTGTATTTTGGACTTATGACCTTGGCGACAGGAGTCAAATTTTAGTTGTTAAAACTATTCTGGAATGTCATGCCAAGTTGGGATCAGAGTCAGTGCTAGAAGCATGCCAAGGGGTTAGGGAAGCAAAGATCCTAAGTCAGATGGCAGAGAGGAAAATGGTAAAATGGTGCTAACATGTCCCAGTCTCCCAGAGATGCCCATCTCAAGAGTTTCACTTCTCATGAGGCCAGCCTTGCCAGTTTCTGTGAGATCTCTGGGACTCTATAAAAAAATTTTTTCTTTCCCTTTTATGTAAACAAGCTTTACTGGACATCTGTTTCTTCTGACAAAAATAGCTTTGTCTAGAGAGTAAGCACTGCATTTAGAAAAAAAAGAAAAAGCTTTTCCAACAAAGCATCATTTAAAGTGGCCTTAATGAAAACAGGATGGCATTGAGCAATGCCTTGCAGGCAGGGACCTGGGGGCAGGATGTGGGCCTCACCTTCCTCTCCCATTTGGCTCGCTCTTCTTCACCTTCAAGGCTCAGCTCAAGGAGCACCTCTTCGAGGAAGCCTCCCTGATCGCCCGCTCCCCACCGGGCACACCTAGCTGCTGCCGTGCCTGGGTACCTCAGTGCTAAGTTCCTGTCTGAGTTTTCAGCATACCTCCCTTGGGTTATCGCTTGTTTAATAAACTATATATAAACTCCTCTGAGATGGGAACCTCGCATGAGACCTTGAAAAGGACAGGTGCTCACCACATATTCATGGACACACATTTTGTTTAACTGAACTGAATTCTAATTCAACACCTGAAATACTGAAGAGCTCTGTGAGGCTATCTTTAAAACTGAGATGGAAACCCCTACTCTGCTCATATAAACTACAGAGTGCCATGCACATGTGAGGGGTTATTAATGAGTGAAGACAGTGGGCCAAAACAATTCAGAAAAGCAGGGCTTTTGATGGGAAAGTGGCCAAGGAGCAACCACATTGTGCCATTATCAATTTAATTCAAAGCTGCTTATCATTATCCATATGGCACTCTTACTTCTTAAAAAGCCCTGCACCAGGCCCTACATGCCTAATGCCCAGGAAGGAATCCAAAGTTCTTTATCCACCAGCCCCAATCTTTTTCTGTGCCCCCAAACAATGTGGCTTAGACCTGGCAGTTTGGAAGGGGCTGAGTGCTGCACTGGGTGGGATCCAGACTAAGCCTACTACTATGAGATGGTATCTGGGGTCCTTGGGCACTGCAGTTGGATTGCTCTCATCCTAAAGTCCAGGTCACCCTTAGCCTGGCATCTGGCTTCCTCTCTTTTCTCCAGAGCCCAAGGCTGATACTTCAGCAAGTTCACATGCTTGAGCCTGCTTAGGGCATGACAGTGAGGGATCAGAGCAAATAGCAACCTGATCTGGGTTACAGCTCATGTCACTTGTCAGCTGTGTGGCTCTGGGCAAGTCATGTAACCTCTCTCAGCCTGAGTTTGCTCATCCATTACATGAACATAACAACCTCCAACATGCTAGGTTGGCAAGAGGGTTCATCCCAGTAATGTAGGCAAAGCAAATGGTTTAGTGCCTGGGTCATAGTGTGCAATAATTATTAGCTGCTTTATTATAATTAGAGTTGTTACTATTAGAGCATGATGAGGCGGAGATATGAACAATTAGAACTCAAGAAAATATTTAATAAAGGGTACAGAGACTCAGAACGGCAGAGCTAGCCAGGCCCTGACAGTTCCCGGTCTAGCAGGATCACCCAGTGGTTGGCCCCTGCCGCCACGCCGACAAGAAGGCTTGCTGTCGCCAGTGGCAATGAACAGTCTCCCTCATGTCCCCTGAGGCAGCCATAGGGCTGAGTGTAGGAGGGCTTCCCCAAAGGGAGCTGATACTCACTGAAATGTTTCAAGCATCTCTGGGCAGCCCTGGGTGCTGAGGGTTAGGAGCCAATTCTGAGCTCTCAGAGCTTTGGCTGGGTTGGGGCAGGGGATGGGCAGGGCTGTCCACGGTAGGGAAGGAACAAGGGTGGGGAGGTAACTGGGAGTTATCCTGGCCTTGCAATTGGTATGGGCCCCAAATACAGGGTAGCCCAAGCTGTCGTGACCCACCTGGCCCAACTCACATGATAATTCCAAAGCGGCTCCCCAGGAGGTAAGATGTGTCATCTCTCTGTCTTTGGTGCTCTTGTCTTTGGAGAAAGGACAAGACCAAAATGATGAAAATCTGTAGGAAAAGAAGATAAGAGCATCAGTGGGATCATTCATCCTGGATGTGCCCTCAGTGCCCTCCCTGAAACAGGATGTGCAGGTGAGCAGAGGGCTCAGAATGTCCGTGACCCGCAAACTCCACAGGCAGGAAGCTGCCTACACACACCCTTGAGCTTCCAGAAGATTTTTTTTACTGAGTTTTCCTTTGAGTTGCCCTGAACAAACATAGGTTCAAATCTAGTCTCTCCCCCATATGGCTGGGATTTAACTTCTGTGAACCTCAGTTTCCTCATCTGTCAAAAGGGTATAATATCTGTCAGGTTGATAATCCTTTGTCTTTTCCGTGTGGATTCAGTCACATTCTCACATACTTCTTTCTTTTTTTTTTTTTTTGAGAGGGCATCTCTCATCACCTACTTACCTCTTACATTCTTTTTTCATACATGTCCTTTTCTCTTCTTCTTTGCTAGAAGCTTCTTGAGAATTGTCTACACTTGTCTCCACTTCCTCACCCCTCACTTGCTCTTCAACCCCCTTACCTGGCTTCTACCCCTGGTAATAGTTCAGCCAAAGCTGATTACCATCTTGTAGCTCGATGCGGAGCACACCTGAAGCCCAGATCTGGCTTGATCTCTCAGCATGCCGACCACTTCCTCCTCTCAGAAACACTCTCTTCCCCAGGCTTCCATCAGCCACATTTTTCTGGTTTTTCTCTTTACTTCTCCATCTCGCTTGCTGGATCATTCTTTGTTCAACCACTAGATTTGGATTTCCTTATAGTTCATTCCAAGGACCACTCCCCTTTTTACCCAATCCTCTCTCCTTGGCAATCTCACCCATGTCCCTGTTTTCAATGGCCAACAATAGACAGAAGGTTCAAAAACTTGAATCTTCAGCCCAGACCTTATCTATGAGCTCCAAAATTGTTCATCCAACTCCAGAGTTGGCATTTCTTTTTAATGTGTTGAAAGCTTCTTGAATTCAGTAGGTCTTAAATGGAACTCATGATTTTTTCTCCCTGCCATATTCCTTCATCAGCTCCAAACCTGGATTTCTTCTAATTTTCCTTAACCAATGAATGGAAGATACCACCATCCTTCCAGCTGTGCAAGTTAGAAAGCTAAGTCGTCCTTAGCCTCTCCCTTCCCTAACCTCCCTGTCTAGCCCATTACCAAGTCCTGTTCTTTTTGTGTCCCAAATGTCTCGAGTTGACCACCATCTAGAATGAGCTAAAATCGTCTCTTACCTGGACCCCTGCAACCATCTCCTAACTGATTCTCCTGCCTCCTCTCTCGCCCACCTCCAACCTGATACCTGCACTGCAACTTGAGTGATCATTTCAAAAGATAAATCTGATCACACCATTTCCAGCTTCATGCTTGAAACACTCCAGTTAATTCCCACTGTACTTAGAATGAAGGCACAACTTCACACCAAGGCCCACAGGCTGCGTCCTGCCTGGTCCTGCCCATCTCCCACACACCTCCACCTCAGCTCTCCACTCCAGCCACACAGCCTTCTCAGTTCCTCACCCTCACCCTCCCTCTCCCTTCACAGAGCCTCTGCCCTGGGCTCTCCCTTCTGTCTGAAATGCTCTTTACTACAGTTCCCAACAAACCTCAGCTTCTCAGAAAAGCCTTCTTTTGGCTTTTCTGTCTGTCATCAAGAAAGGATACTCTAAAACACTCTAAAAACATCAAGGACACTCTAAAACCCAGTGTCCTTGGTTCCTTGGCCCTTAAAAGCCTTTTTCTGCCTCTGTTTTGGTGCATAGTATAAGACAGCCAAGGAAATACAGCCGATATCTCTGTTGACCAACTCAAGCCCAGCTCCCCTGCCCTCCCCTCCTCCATCTTCCCCTGCCTTGACTTACCGATGGGATGAGGGAGTAATGGAGGAAGAGTTCCATGTCCATCGAACTGGTACAGGTGACATTTAACTGCCTGGTCCTGAAAAACAGCCAAAAAACCACATTCACATCATCAGTCATTGCTACAGTCACTGACTCTTTAGCCTTGAGCGTCACTGTCAGGAGTTTAGCTTGTAACCCACTCAAATCATCTGATCTTTTTTAACTTTGCTTCCTCAGAGCCAGTACTACTCACCTGTGATGTGTCTTCCCTAAGTGGATTAATCTTTCCTATTCCTCTTTTCAGCCTGGTTATCTATCCAGCTGCTCTACTAACTGGATCTAACGCCTTCCTTTCTTGATGACAGTCAGTGACAGTTTCAGATTCTGTGAGGCCTGATGCTTATATAACTTGGGACATTCTTTCCAAATAAAACTACAAAACCATTTTACTTGTTCATATTTTTAGGAAAACATATTGCCATGTAAACACTTAACTAAGGTGCCTCCCACTCTCCCAGAGCCTTGAAAGGGTTCTGGGCAAGTGAGGGGCCCTGAGACTAAAGCTTCAGTAACTTCATAGGAAATCAGCCCTTGGACAAGTTTTTCCATAACCAGAGTGTAAGAAGCATCAGCTTGTTCCTGATCCCCTGCTGGACTGTTGGGACAGGACAGTGGTTATCTGGACTACAGACTGTGGACTTTGTCCTCTCTAGGATTCATAGTCTGCAGGACAAGGTTGCTGGGGTCTCTTGTCTGAAACACATGACAGCAGTTTCGTGACTTGTCTTTAAAAGGGACCTCCTCCTTTCTGGGGCTCCCACCCCACTGTTCTTGCTGCTCTGACTTCCCTGCACCACCTCAGCATGCTTTCTCACCCTTCTGGATCTCTGCTCACTCTGTTCCCTGCTCCTACAGCATCCCCCAGCCAAGTCCCGGGCTCCCTTCTCTGGCCAGCTCCTTCATCTCCCTCACAAGTCTTAGGGAAGAGCATGCCTCTAGGGAGTCCATGATCATGGAACATTCTTCGGTAATTCTTTAAAATCCCAGTGCTCCCTGGCTAGGTCTAACCACAGGTCTGACACATCTTAGAAGTGGGGGAAAGTAGAAGGAAATACAGCTATCAAAAATGTGGTAGAACTGTAAAAGACACACTTCTGTTTTCAGGAAGGTAAACATGTATCAGTCTCCCTATCCATACAAAACCTTCAAGATGACAGAAAATTTGTTATTTTTTTAAAAAAGAAAGAAAGAAAACAGCCATATTTGAAAACAAGAGGGATCCTATCAGGGACACAGAAACTACTAGAAGACCCTGAATGACAGAGAGCAACTGGGACTAGATCAAAGAGAACAAGCATCAGCTAACATGGCTGCAGACTGGGATCACACAAGGAGCGCTCTGCACCCATAGGGCAAGAGGCTGAAGCACAGTGGGGCTGCCACAGAATGATGAACTGGGGTCTCACAGAGACCCATGTGTCCTCGACTCCTGCTGATCAGCCAGGGGCAATGGAGTTTATGTATCCGGGGGTAGTATGTATATATGGGTCTCAGAGAGAGAGAGAGGCTGTGCTCTGGGCCACAGGTGACACCTGAAAGGGACCAGTTGTTTTGGCTTCCAGAAGTCCAGCCTCTGAGATATGCCATCTATTGGTACATCCCCTCTCCAGCCCACTGCACAGCCCTGGGAGCAGCTGCCACAAATCCACAAAGCAAGTATCCTGGTAGAAAGCTAGATCACAGAGAGGAGCATACAATCAAGAACCATCAAACATTTGAAAAACATTACACCACAGAAGGGAGTCAAATATTCAACAGAGAGAGGAACTTACTCCTGAGGAAACAAAGTTAATATGTATCTATATGAGGTAATTACTAGAAGAAATTCTCTACAATAAGAATAAATCTAGGAGGAAGTAGAGGGGTGCAAAAAGCAATAGTAGGCAAACAAATTAGTGAAACTTCTTGCTAATCCTGAGCACAGGATTTTAAATAAATACATATTTAAATAAATATATACATATACACACATACTGAGAAAGAGAAAAACGTTTTTAGAACTACAAAGACTCAAAAGACCCTCTCTGAAAGAAATATTGGAGGAAATTCTCAATTAATAAGAAAAATGAATCTAGGAGGAAGAAGGATTTAAAAGTATCAGTGCATAGAGAAACTAATAAAATATATGTTAAATATCTACATAAGTAATTATTATGAAACAAAATGTTTGCAATGCCAATTTTGGAGGTCAAATACCAGATGACAGACCCCACAGGAGGAGGGAAAGGTGAGTAGGAACAGGTTGTGGATGCAGATGGAAGTAAAATAATGATCGAGTTCTCATCATGTTTAGGAGGCCGATATAGAAATCTGTTTTTTCTTTCTGGGCTTTATTTTAAAAATTAGAATTCTAAGTAAGCATGTGAAAAATCCATAGTTAACTCTACCAGAAGAATATAAATAAAATGTAAACCAGCATATTGAAAAGTATATATGAAAGAAAATTCAATTGCTCCAATAGACTACAGGAAGAGAAAAAAAATGAGATTAAGATTAAAAAAGAAACACCATAAGGACAAAAATGTCCAAAGACTAGTAAGCCACCAGCAAGGAAGAAATACAAATATTTGATAAACCCTTAAAATTTCAATTAGTAATAAAAGTAGACATTAAGATGAAATACCACTTATCTATTAAACTGGAGATTACTGAAAATACTACCAGCATTACTGAAGGTTAAGACAAGTTGGTATTCATCTTCTGGTAGTCAGACTGTAAACTTGTATAACCATTCTGAGGATTAATTTTGTAATATATATNTGCTCATTGTAAAACATTACAAATATTAGCAAATGTATAAAGTGGTAAATAAAGGCCTTTCTCCTCCATAATTATGTGTTTATAAACTGGATGTATGTGTTGTTTTAAGCAAAAATGGGATCAGACTAAACTTGATTTCTTCATTTAATCAACAAAAGTAAGGAAATTCATTTAAGAAAGGAAGAAAATCTTTCATTTATGAAAGAAGGAAGGAAGTTGAGACAGACCCATCAGACTCTTCTGGATGGGTGACCCTCTGGATGGGTGACGCTTCTGACACAGACTCACCGCCGGGCCTGTCTCCTGCTCTGGGAGGCTGAGCAGAGAGTACGTCTTGTGGCAGCTCAAACCAGGTGAGTTCAAGGAGGGCTGACTGTCAGCCCTCTAAATAAGGGGTCCAGAGCTACTGAGTCTGATTCCCTGGGCTATGCTTCTACTCCAACAGCCACTACAGTGAACAAGTGAAGTGTGCAATGCAGTCAACCCATATTAAAAAGCCATGGACCCGCAAAGAAACAGAAAATCTAAACAGACTAATTACCAGCAATGAAATTGAATTAGCAATCAAAAAACTACCCAAGAACAAAACCTCTGGACCAGATGGCTTTACTGCTGAATTTTTTCAGACATTTAGAGAAGACCTCCTTTAAGTTTTAATACCCATCCTCCTTAAAGTTTTCCAAAAAGTAGAAGAGGAGGGAATACTCCCAAACTCATTCTATGAGGCCAGCATCACTCTAATACCAAAACCAGGAAAAGACACCACAAAAAAAGAAAATTACAGACCACTATCCCTGATGAACATAGATGCAAAAATACTCAACAAAATATTAGCCTAATAGTAGTAAGTTAAACGTATGATAATAGCTTTCATTGATTGATGTCACCATATTAGGTGTCAGTATGTCCTAGGCATTTGCTATTTTATATTCTCTAAATTAATCTTTACAACCTTATGAGGTAGGTTGTATTATCTCCTTTTTAAAATGAGGCACTGAAGCCAGGAGAGGTTTCATAACTTGATCAGGAGATGAGGCCTGCAGCCATCCTCCCTGGAGGACACCATCTTCCCATCCCGGCTGTGGGTTCACGTGGCTCCTTGGAGCCTCTAGAGCTCCCTGACCTTCTGGGCTGCGGCTGGCTCATCTCTGATCCCCACCGCCAGCCGGGTGCCTGGCACAGAGAGGCTTAGGAATGTCTATTAAATTCCAAGGGAACTGCCCTCAGGAAATCAAGGCCCGGAGAGGGCCAGTGAGCAGAAAACACACTATTTCAGGTCTCACACAATGAGTTCAGGCACTGGCCACCTCGTGGGTGGTCAGCAGAAGGAAATCGGTTTTCACTGCTCAGTGCAGAGAAAAGTTAGGAAAGGAGGAGGATATGCACACAGTGTGTATGTGCAAAACAAATTTTCACAGAACAATACCCTTAATATGCTTGGTGTCCTCTGGTATTTTTAACTTGATTCAATTCTATTAATTTTGTAAAATGCTGGTCATACCACTAAATTAATTTCACAACCCACTAATGGGTCTCAGCTGTTTGAAAAAAAACTTGGTGAGACGATCGCTAGGGTAGGGGCTCAGGAATCCCTGAAGGCCTCTGACTCACAGCCCCTTTGGCAAGTATTTGCCTTTGCCGCAGAGGGCGCCCCCAAACCAGGCCCTGCCCTGATGGGTAAACAGCAGGTGAGATCATCAAGGAAACTCTTCAGCTCAGGCCCTTACCGCTTCTCCTGGCCGCCGCTGCACCAGCTTCCGGCCTGAGCTTGTCTCCGCTCTGCGGGAGCAGCTCGCCTCCCCCACCTGGAGAGGAAGGCTCCTTCCCCCGGACTCTGCAACTAGCCTGCGGGCTCTCGCACTCATCACTCCCGCTTGCTGCTATAGCTGCCTTTTTCATGTCTAATGTCTCACTTTCAGACCATGCTTTTCAAAGGCAAGAATGGGTTTTATTCCACTTTGAACCTCGACAACTCCCCCCGGCCCCACCGACACACACCCAGCTTCTGACTTGGGAAGAAGTACATTACAGATCCAAGCGAGTGCTGAATGAGTGAGTGAAAAGGGAAGGCAGGCAGGAAGGACCGGAGGGAGGGCCGGAGGGAGAAAGAATGAGACACCCGGCGCTGCACCGCGGGTGGTGGGCATGCGCGCAGCAGAGCCGGGCCCTGCCACGTCCACCGAGACCCACCCATCAGGGCATCACAGACTCCTAACCGGTAACTGAAAGGCTCTGGAATCTGACCCCATTCGATGTTCGAATCCTTTTAGGACCCCCACCCAGGCCCAAACCCATGTGTGGCCATGAAGGCTTGCTTGGGCACTTCCAGTAGTGGGAACCCTCTCCCTCCACAGCCCAACACTTCCATCTCACTGAGGCGTGGGGCCCAGAGGGAAAAGCACTGGTTTGGAGCCTGACAGCAAGCAAGCCCCAGCTCCACCACGTGACTGGGTGAGCCGTGCCCCTCTCTGGGCCTTACTCCCCTTATCCTGAAAATACATCTAATGCCTGCCATCCGAGCTGCCACGAGGATTAGATACAATGAGAGTCAGGTACCTGCCTTGTGCTCAGTGGAATGATCTTTCCCATCCCTTTCCTGCTTTCGGACAGCTTTGATCAAAGAAAAGGGGTTTTCCTTTTCTTGGGCTGGAAAGGGACTCTCACTAGCAGGGTTTCTTTCACCTCAACTCCCTGGGGTGTCTGGGCTCAGCCCTTCCCAATCCAGTGCACACCACAGACAACCAGCCTGGCATCCCCGGCCTCCTGCTAGGCCTGGGCATGTGAAGGACTCCCCTGCCCTTGGGCCCCTGACCGTGCAGTGGACTGAAGTCCTCCACCTGGTTAACCAGTAGCTAGAGTGGCTGCCCATGCCTAGCTCAGGGCCCAGTCTCCCACTTCCTTGCTGCTGACAGAGTGGCCCAAAGCAAGGAACCCTGCCTAGAGTAGCCCCACTGCCCTCCCAAGCTGCTGGCATCTGGTGAAGGGGCCTGGCCAGGAATAACTGCTTCAGGCAGATCCTCACTCTGACTGCTAGGTGCTGTGCTTCCTCAGGCTCTTGGAACCCCTGGGTATCTCTCTGTTCACTTGTGAATGAGGAAGGCTGGACTTCTTGGGACAGAGTCCATGGTCACAGCAGCCAGCCACTGTTTGGAAATGCCTTTTCATGGGCCTGTGTCCCCCACAGGAAGGGAGCTCCTTGTTGGGGGGACCTTTTTCATTCATCTCTACGTCCCCGGCTCTAGGCCCAGTATGTGGCAACAGTAGGTGTTCACTAATGTTTCCTAAGTGTATGGATGGAAAGTTAATGTTTCTCGAGAGCCTACTGTGCACCAAGCTATACTTCAAGGGCTTAGCATTTATTAACTAATTTCATCCTCACAACAGCCCTGTGAGAGACGTACCATTATCACCCCATTTCACAGATGAGGAAACTGAGGCACTGAAAGGTCAGGAAACTTGTCTGAGCTTGCCCACAGACTTGGACCCTGGCAATCTGGTGATCATGTAAGTACTTCCTGGCTGTCACGTTCTATGACTTCACCGTAACTGCCCATGGCTATGGCCAGTGCAGTCTGAGCTCTCACAGCTGGAGACTAGAGGAGGACAGGACCTGTAAAGACTCAAGAGTGAATCTGCGCACCAGGTCATCTGCGTGCAGCTTTAAGAACTCCGTGGGGGAAAGCGAAACTTCCTTTCAAAAATGTGATCCACGATGGAACAACAGGCTGTCTGGAGGGTGGGAAGTGGGCAGGGTGTCTGTGAAACAAGGAAGGCCATGTGTCGACAACTGCTGGAGCTAGTGATGGGATATAGGGGTTCTTTATACTATTCTCTCTTCTTTCATGTAAATTCATGTACTTCCATAATAAAAATGTAAACTTTTAAAATAAAATTAAGTCCATGACTACCAAACCTACACAGGCTGCTACCTTGCTGGTGGTCTCTTCGGATTTCTTCCCAGCTCCTCCACCCCTCAGGCCTGCCTCTGATGGCCTTCCCAGGAAGGCAGGTATGTCCTTCTGTCTGCTTCTCTCTCTTAGGCCTGTTGGTTTGTCTCTGTCTGTTGGTTTGTCACATTCTCTGTGGCTCTGAGAATCAGGGGAATGTTCTACAGTGAAAGACACACTGACACCTGTTTTTATTTCAGTTCTTTCCCAGGGTGTCTGTCTTCTCTGCATGTCCAAATCTGCTTTCTTCTCCTTTGCCTGACTACTCGCATCCATTTTGGCCTCGCTGTACAACTAGGGATGGTCGGCTCTGGGTTGGTGACCTCCTTGTCGGTGTATGGGATGTCTTCATGCTCACGAGGGTCCTCAGATCTGGAAGGAAGACTCTGGGATTTGATGTCAGAGACCTTGTGACCTGGGGTAAATCATTTCTCCTCCGGAAGCCTTGCTGCTTTGTCTGTAGAGTGGCTGTAATGCCAGCACTTCCCTGGTCATTAAGGAACAGGTACAAATGGTGCCTTGTTAACTGAGAAGCACCATGCATGCTGGTTCTCAGGCCTTTTCCTCTTCCCTACAACTGCCGCCCATTTTGTGCATCCATTAACAAGATGTGTCCTAAGGTATCAGAAAAGCCTAAGAGAGGTTATTTCTTGGATTCAGGAATGCTCAAAATTTTTCCATCTAAATTAAGGGTAATTGCATCTTCTCTCAATGCCGTTTCAGCTTACAAAAGATTTTGTAGGAATGCTCTACTTTCAGATAGAAGGGGAAGCCTGTATCTCCTTTTCCAAGTGACTCTCATTATACCTGTTGGTCTTTTTACTTCTTTTCCCTTCTTCATCCTCCACAGCATTCTTCAACAATCTAAGCAGATACATGATGACCCAGAAAGTGGTGGCTTACTTTTTGCTGTATTTTGTGGTAGTTCTTTCAGTTCTGTGATCAGATATGATCAAACGTTCGCATTTAAATGTTTGAGTGAGAATTCTTAATTCCTGACATCTGGACAGGACTTCACAGATCTCAAAGTCCTTTCACATTCTTTTCTCAGACGTTCTTCACAAAGCTGGGTGTTAGGGAGGACATGGGCTCTTCTGCCTGATTTATAGAGGAGGGAACTGAGCCTTTAAGATTTGCCAGAAACTACAGAGCCAGGATTCAAACCTGGGTCCTCTAACACCATTATCTGGGCTCGTCCCACTCTGCTCTGTGGCTCCAAACTGAAGACAAACAGAAATCTTTTCACTGACCCAGACCTGATCCATGGTTCCTTCCTCCATGCTAGCCTGCGTACAAAGGAGCTAACCTGTGCCTTCTCCCAGTTTCCACAAACCACCATCAGAGAAGACGGTTGCCAGGACATGTGTTTGTCTAGCATGGCTCGTCTTAGATCTGACCCTGCTGACTCACCTTGCACTTGTGGAAAGCATCTTGGTGGAAAAGCACCGCCTGCAGCCCCGGCGAGCAAGCTGCTTCTCTGGATTAGTCTTTGAGCTTCTCTGGCCTCCTGGTTATGATCGTTTCTGATACTCTGATGTTCTGCCCAGTTCTCTTCACAGCACACAAAAACTCAGACAAAAAGCAAACATCCAGTCAAATATTCACCAGAGAAATGAAAGCAAGCAGGCAGCCTTCCTTGTTTCAGAACACTGCGGGCTATTCTTCTGTTCTTCCTCCCCTTCTCGTGCTTCCTCATGCAAAAGCAGGAACTTCCCCCCTCTTTCCTCTCTCCTGGACTCTGGCTATCTCTTTGAGTCCCCTGCAGTGGGCACTGGGGGTTGAGGGTGGTCAGGGGGCCCTAAGCTACTAGAACTTTGCCCAGCAGCTGAGGCTTCTTTGGCTAGCTGTAAAAATTATTACAGGCAATAAAGTAGGACTCTGCCTCAAGGCAATAAACTAGGAAACTAGGACCACTGGCTTCAAGATTCTCCTTGGATACAAGGCCATCCATTGTTGGGAGAAGGAGCTGGAGACAAGTTCAAATTGAACACCACCCATGTGGTGGAACCAGCTACTGTCCACCAAGAATTGCTGCTCCCTCTCCATAAGGAGAGGCTGGCACTGGGATGAAGCTGCCCAGCCAGAGGCCAGACTCCCCAGGTCCAGTATCTAGGAACAAACATGGGCCGAAGGCTCACCGATGAAATGTGAGCAGAAGTGACATGAGTAACTTGTGGGCCAAAACAATTAAGAAGCAAATGTGTCTTTCCTATCTTTTCCTTCCCTGTGTGCTGGTTTAGGGCTCAAAGACCCTAAAGGAAATAGGATGGAGGGAGTCCAGATCCATGAATCATCATGTAGAGGAAACTGCCCTCTACGTTGACTGCCCTCTCACACACTGCTGTGCGGGCAAGAAAAATAAAGTTTTATGGTACGAAGCCAGCCAAGTGCAAGCTTATTTGTTATAGCAGCTAGTGTTATGCCAGATAACACAGCACATAACACAGAAGACTTGAAAGTATCATGTGGTCCAAGTCCTTTATTTTAAGAAGAAAACAGAGGCTTTGGGAAGGAAAGCATACTAACAAGACTGGCTAAGCCTCAGAAAGCCTGCTGTGCCCCCAGAGCTGTGGCCAGGGCATGAGCAGCCATGCTGGTGCCACACGATTCTGCCCCAGAGCACTGCTGACTGGGCCACGGCTGCGTGCCTGACCCGAGAGCGGCCAGTCACAAGCCATACAGTCTCTTACTTGTGACAGACACCCTGCCTAGCAGAGCCTCTCTCTTAGGAGCCCAGCCCTAAGACAGAGCAAGAGCTAAGCACTCGTCAGTGGGACTAAGAACCAAATAATAGCCAGAGAGATGCAGGAACCTAAGGAACAGTCAAGTTCTGATCAGGCCAGAGCATGACTCTTGCTGCTGAGCATACGTTAAGATTTCCCAGTTACCAGAATGGCTTGTGGATTCAAACTGGCCTCTTTGTTTCCAAATGACTTTCTGGGCCAAATGGGAGCTAGACTCCAGGTGTCCTTGACTGTCAGCTCACTGCATCCTCAGCTCCTGGGCCATTGAATGGTACCACCAAACTCCGCCTCTCACAAGCTGTCAGTGGCTCCTCCCCTTCTCCTGCTTCATTCATTCCGCTTCCCAGCGGTTCTCACCCATCCCTTTACCTTTGTGTCAGAGGGCTCACTTCCTCTTCTCCCCTCTGCCAGCTTGGAGTTGGTGTTCAGAATGGTGGAGCTACAACATGGAAGGAGCCTGGATATCTGAATCAACACTTGAGGAGACCAGGAATAGCTGTCTGAGACTTTAATGTGATAGGAATAAACCTCTGTTCTGTTAGAGCCATCATACACTTTGCTGCAGCTAGTCCCTACCCTAATCAACACAACTTCCTTTCCATTCACACTGCTGCTGCCGCAGTCCCAGCGCTCACCACCTGCTGTCTGGACTAGTGCAAGAGTGCTCTAACGGCCTCGCAGCCTCCAGTCCCACGCTTAAGGCACCAAAACCTCTCCCTAGAGCACAACTCAGACTTGCTGAGTGTCCTCCCAGGGTCTGCGCCCCACCATGGCACTCCAAACCTTCTAAGAAGTTGCTTCAGTCTCCCTTCCAGCCTAATTGCCACTGTGCACTTCTACATATTTTAAAGTTGTTTATCCATCCCTAAACACAGTCTTTCATGCTAATCTGGATCTTTAGGGAGCAAGGCATGAGATCCACTCAAGTTGCCTTGAGTCGAAGGGGGTTCCTATTACTCCCCTGCAAGGGCTGCGACCAACCCTGGGAAGGTGTGGAAAGTGAAGCCATTCTTGGGAATGGCTCCTCCCCACCTGTGGCCGAGGGAGCTCTCTCTCGGCTCTTTCCCTTTGGGCATTCTTGCTCCAATCTGTTCTCTCTATGGCTCAGGCCCTTTGCTTCCTATGGTTTCTGCTCTCTCACAGCTTCAACTCATCACCGTCCTGGTATCCTTTCAGCTTTTACCCTCAGGGTTCATTGCCTTCTTTCTAGGGTTCCCCTGGTTCTAAATGCTAGAATAATATATCTGTCCAAGTTTATCTTTTTCCCCAGGCGGGTCCTAGGACAGCCTATGCCTTTCTGATATTTGGCTCAGTCATAATTCCCTTGCATTAGTTTGTTAGGGCTGCCAGAACAAAATACCACATACTGGTTAGCTTCAATAACAGAAACTTATTTTTTCTCAGTTCCAGAAGCTGGAGTCCAAGATCAAGGTGCCAGAAGGTTTGGTTTCTCCTGAGGCCTCTCTCCTTCTTGCTGTGTCCCCACATGGCCTCTCCTCTGCACATGTACATCCCTGATGTCTCCTTCTGTCCTAACCTCTTCGTGCACAGACACCAGTCAGACTGGACTGGAACCCACCTTAATGCCATTATTTTAATTAATTACCTCTTTAAAGGCCCCATCTCGAAATACAGTCATATTCTAGGGTACTGGGGATTAGGGCTCCAAATACAAATTTTGGGGGTACACAATTCAATCCATAACACCCCTGGCCCAATCAGCTCCAATCAGGTCCTGGAGGTAACGAAGAGGCATTGTAACCGACCAATTCAGGCCATTTGTGTCTGAGTTCTTTGATCCCTTTACTCCTAACTGGCACACCTCCTCTCACTTCTGCTTACCACCATCCTTTCTGTTCATTAAGTCCTACTTCAAGCATACTATCTGACATGAAATGTCTCCTGATCAAACCATGATGGAATTTTAGTCTACATTTCTCTTATGGCACATATTTAGGCCTTCTTTATTTACTCATTCAACACATATGTATGGAGAAGCATGCTGGTGAGGTGGTTCAGAGTGTGGACTTTGGGGCCAACTCTGCCATTTACTAGCTGTCATTTTGGCCAAGTTACAGTGTTAACATCTCTGATCCTCAGTTTTACCTGCAATCGGCCATACCTACTTCATGGGATGTAGGACGTTGAAATGAGCTAATATACATAAGACCCTCAGGAGGGTGCCTGACACATGGTAAGCACTCGGTGAACAGTAGCTATTATTGGATGCTACACTGCTGGGTACTGACTGGAATGCAGGGTATACAATCACATCGCAGTTAACTGTGTCCAAGTCACATCTTCCCATGAGATCATAGTGGCTAGGAAGCCACAATTAGATCTGATTCAAAATGATATCTGAAATACAGCATATGCCTTACAGATGCTTATTCTCAAAATTGAAAATGGTAAGAGAAAAATGAACAAGACAGAGACATATGGGGACCTAGTGAAATATAACTCTCTTACTGGATGCCTAGGAACAGTGTAAATGCATTTCCTATGAAACCAGGCCCTCTCCTTCCTTGGAAGAAGCAGTTCTTGGTGCATCCGTGCCACACTGTTCAGAGAAAAGACTTGCAAGGCCCACCTCCCTCCAGGCCCTCGGAGATGCTATCTCCTCCGGGAGTGCCCATCTGCCGGGTGCTTCCTGGCTCCACTGCCAAGGCTTCAAATGGATATTTTAAATTCTTGGATTTGCATGGTGGTTTCCCCCACAATTCTGCAATTCTTCTCTTCACACAATTAAGGAAGAGACATAACTGAATTGCTACCAACTGCCCTGGGGAGGTTGGGGAGGCAGCCATCTTTAAGTGGGAGGAAAGCTAAGACATTTGTTCTAAACTGCTTAAGGTTCAGTAAAATTTCATCCACAGTGATGAGCACCCATTTCTAAGTGGTTACCATACTCCAGACAGGGCCCTTCTGAACCTGGAGGTAATGCCGTGGGGCAGATTTCATTTTCTCCCTCTCATGCTTCCTCATTTTAGTGTTGAATCCAAAAAGAGAACTTGACATGTATCTGTAGAACATTCCAACATTTGATTTATCTCTACCATACTAGCCTATGCAAGCATTTGAAAATATTGCTTCCTCTATTAAATGCATATTAATTCCTTTTTGAAGCTTTGGGGGCATTTAAATACTTCTGCTGAGTCATCCAGGTTATTGGTAAAAACCCTGGATAGAGCAGAGCCCTGTAGCACTCCACTAGGGACTGCTTTCCAGGAGCCACGTGACGGTGCTGAACTTGGTAGAGCGTGAGGAAAGAGATGACCGACTACACCGGCACCCAGGTTAGGAAGACTGTTTTAGCCCTGTGTTTAGCAGGGCTCAGCGTCCCGGTGGCATGACAGAAGGAAATTCAGCCGTGCATCACAAGGGCTGCACTTGTTTCCTGAGTGTTGGGAGCTTATCACAAGATAGCCTCTATTTATTTTATAGACATATGGCTTAATTATTAAATTTACAAATAAAACAACCCAGATAACTGGAAGTTAGTATAATTTCTTCATTGGGTAATATAGATGGCTTTCTGGAGCAGGTGTGACCCTTGACTAGGGACAAACTAATTTATACTCCAATCTTGTCCTCTGTCACAAACAGGCCTGGCTCCCCCTGTTGGCAGAATAAAGACAAACTCCTCAGGTGGGCATTCAGTGACCTTTGTGACCAGCCACAATTTATTTTCCCAGACTACACTCTGGGAAGTACTCAGGAGATCTGGACTGCCCTCTCAGGTGCAATCCACCTCCCCTGCCTTCTCTCATTCATTCATGTCACATATATTTATGAAGTACCTGTGTGCGAAGAAGTCCCTGTGGACGGATGTTCTAGGGACACACCTTGTACCCTCTTCCCAGGTTGGCTAAGATCCCAGTTTAAGCTCGGTGTCCTCCCTGGAGAAGGCTTTGGTGCTCTGCAATTTATCACAGATGGAATTCAGAGAATGATATTATTGCACCAGAAGGCAGGCTGGGACAAATTGCTGGGATGGGGCTGCTCAGGGACAGATGAGAACAGCGGAAGACTATTTCTAGAGCACCAAGAGGGAAACCCATTTAAACCAGAGGCCAACCATGTACAGTAAAAGGAGCTCTGGGCTGGGAAACCCAGAGACC